TTTTTTAACATTAAAAGAAAAAACAATTATATATATATATATATATATATAAATATATATATATTTTTTTTTTTTAAATATTAAAAAATATTTATATCTGTTAATATCTATTAAACTATTAATATGTAAACATGAGTGTATTATTACACCCCTAATATATCCTATAAAAAAATCCGATAAAATGGGGCACAATGTACTGTACTAATATGAAGGAATTTTCTATATTTATTTATTCAACTATTCATTTATTTACTTACTTGCAGGTGTTTCACTTGTATTTTGAGTTTTGCACTTCATTCCATTGTGTTTTAGGGTTAACGGAAATGTCCGTAAAAATTTTTTTTTCTATTTAATTATTTAATTTTTTAAAAAATATTGTAAATAAGTTCTAGCAATAAAAGCTAGTTAAAAAAATGAAAATATTTCGATTAATTAAACATTTTACTCACTCACTCACAGCTGCCCTGTATTTCTATAAATGACATCCCTGCCTTTGTACAGAGAAGAAATGTCCTCCCATCCCTGCTGAGGACACACAATTATGCAAAATCTATTTTAACTGATCATCAAAGCAATGGCTTTCAAAAATTCTGCATAATCAGGATTATGAAGTTTCAAAAGCATAGGCCTGTTAGTTTTCATTACCAACTAGAAACCTGCACATCAACTAACATTTGGATTAAGGTTTTTTTTTTTTTCAGTTCTTGCATATTAGAGCACTCATTTGAATATTTATAGAACCCAGCAAAAGCACAGTAAAATGTTGGCTTTGGAAGTCCCAACGACACTGGCCTCTTTGCATCCTGTTGCGTCCTGTTTTCCATATTCTCTGGCTATAAAGAGAGCAGGAGCAGAGGAAGGGGGGAGGAGGGAGGGATACAGTATGTGTGGTACAGGAAACTCGCAGCTCTTTGACCCCGAGCCATTGCCTATGACAACGTAATTATGTGCATTTACTCATCTCTATGATTGTCTCACTGGAAACATGTAGCTTCAGATGATATGTTTATTTGAAAGAAATATCTGTTGTTGACTATCACAGTAATGCGGACGTGGAGTGTTTCTCACACTTTTGTTGTTATTTTGGATCTGTGTTGATTCTTGTGGAAGAGACTGTATCTTGCATTGCCAAGTATGCTTTAAAAGGACTTGTGTGTTCATTATCAGTGGATATTGAGCCATTTTATTAGATGGTTTATTTTTTATGATAAAAAGTGTATTGCATGATGCTTGCTTGAAATTTCTGCACCAATATTTACATGTTGCTATAGGCAACTTTGGTTTAGAGGTCATTTTCTCTTTTATATCACTTGTTTCAATGTCTCTCAGGCTTTTTCAACAAAGCCTTCTTCACTTTCGATGGCCATCTGCACAGAATATAGCCATAAAACGTTTTTATTGTGTGTCTAATGCAGTGCCGTCATTGTGACGCATAATTATAAAGCTTTTATCAAAATGAAATGTTGTGTAAGCATTAAGTTAATGTTAAAACTGATATAAGAACTTATAATGAAGATTCATCTTTAAAGGTTACCCACAGTTCATCCTGATAAATATTATTATTGTTTTTTTTAATTATTATTTAAACATGGCACTTCCTTCTTTGGGACTGGTGGAGCCACCGAGTTTATATCATTATCTGGTAGCTAGAATGATTAACCATGGGAACTATAATACTGCACATATAGCTGCCGGCTCTTATTAAATCCTTGAAAATCCAAGTGAAGGGCATTGTGCCACATGAACTTTGGTCTCATTTAGTCTTTGAGTACTTCCACTTGATCGCTCATATTTGGGTCACATCTGATTAGCATGCTACTGTGTTAAAGTCACAAATCAAAGCAATGAGAAATCAGCCGGATCTTCAAAATAACCTCAGTCTGAACAAGGAAAACTAAGTCAAGGAAAGTCATTGGACAAAAGGTTTAGTTCCAGTTATAACTTCTGCTTCACAGTTAAAATATGTTCACATTGTGAGTACATGTTAAAAAAGACGAACATAATCACCAGATCGTTATGTTTTAGTACATCACATCAAACATCTCATTTTCCCAAGACTGATCCAGCACAGAACCGAGCATTCAGAGAGAAGTGACGTGCCAGATAGTTTTCTGATGAGCAATGCTCCAGAACAAGCATATATACCCATGCCTTGTTCTGAAGTCTTTGTTCCTTTCAAAAGACTCATGTGAGACTCGAGTGATTGGCACACATACACTTCTGAGCATGTAATGAGGTTAGTTAGCATGCTTGACAATTGATAATTGCGCCGTGGTGAATTCTTGGGACTGGGCCGTTGTCAGAGTGCCAGAGAGGAAAAGTTGCCCTGGACCAAACCTGGAGTGGTTGTCACGTTCTTCCTCACCCGCTCAAGTATGGCTGGGTATCGTGTTCGATACTTTTTAGCACCGACCCGATTTGCCTCAATACCATCAATACTGCGTTTCAGAAAAGATCTCCGTCCACACTACACGACCAAAAATGTTAATGCTCATCAGTAAATCAGTGGAAAATGCATAGAAATGATGATTCTAAGCTATGCGTTTTGAAGCAAAAACGCACTAGTGTAAACGTAGCCTAAAAGATGTGGAAACTGAAAACTATTTGCACTGATTAATTTTGTTGGTTAGTTACATTTTGTTCCTTTGTGCAGTGGCTCAGGAGATCAGTCTTTGAGTCTGTAAAAACCTCAACGAGCTGAAAAATAAAACCAAATTTTTTTTTTGAGGTAATGTAATCTTGTTAAAATGGATTTAATAAAATTGGTATCGAAAAAAGTATCGCTCAGGAACCGGTATCGAAGTCAAGGTATCGGTACGATATACATTTTTTTGAATGATACCCAGCCCTACGCACAGCAGACGTCTTTGACATAAAGTCAGTGCTGTATTCTTGCCAGGTGTAATAACGTCCTTGTGATTAGCCATTATTGTTTTTGTAGACTTTGACAGCAGTTCAGTTACAGGTCATGCAGTCTGCGGCCCTCAGTGGATCTCATGGATCTTAACGGATGGCATCCAGTGCTTCAGTTATATCACCTGATCTTAATAGGGAATTATATTGAAGAAGTCAATGGTTTATGGTAGGATCAGAAAGAGATCAGATAGGGCCACCAACTGTTCTCTCAAGTGGAGAGTCAGTGCAGATAAAGATGGCTCAGAGAGCAATCCACTATTACAGGTTAAGCCCATACCTGAAGGGAATAACAAGATCAACAAAAAAATATGGAGAAACAAGCCAGGAGACTAAAATATCTCCATAGACCTGTTGTTGAAATGACAAGTCCACAGTAGATGGCACATTTGTCTGAGCTCAATACCATCAATACTGCGTTTCAGAAAAGATCTCCGTCCACACTACACGACCAAAAATGTTAATGCTCATCAGTAAATCAGTGGAAAATGCATAGAAATGATGATTCTAAGCTATGCGTTTTGAAGCAAAAACGCACTAGTGTAAACGTAGCCTAAAAGATGTGGAAACTGAAAACTATTTGCACTGATTAATTTTGTTGGTTAGTTACATTTTGTTCCTTTGTGCAGTGGCTCAGGAGATCAGTCTTTGAGTCTGTAAAAACCTCAACGAGCTGAAAAATAAAACCAAATTTTTTTTTTGAGGTAATGTAATCTTGTTAAAATGGATTTAATAAAATTGGTATCGAAAAAAGTATCGCTCAGGAACCGGTATCGAAGTCAAGGTATCGGTACGATATACATTTTTTTGAATGATACCCAGCCCTACGCACAGCAGACGTCTTTGACATAAAGTCAGTGCTGTATTCTTGCCAGGTGTAATAACGTCCTTGTGATTAGCCATTATTGTTTTTGTAGACTTTGACAGCAGTTCAGTTACAGGTCATGCAGTCTGCGGCCCTCAGTGGATCTCATGGATCTTAACGGATGGCATCCAGTGCTTCAGTTATATCACCTGATCTTAATAGGGAATTATATTGAAGAAGTCAATGGTTTATGGTAGGATCAGAAAGAGATCAGATAGGGCCACCAACTGTTCTCTCAAGTGGAGAGTCAGTGCAGATAAAGATGGCTCAGAGAGCAATCCACTATTACAGGTTAAGCCCATACCTGAAGGGAATAACAAGATCAACAAAAAAATATGGAGAAACAAGCCAGGAGACTAAAATATCTCCATAGACCTGTTGTTGAAATGACAAGTCCACAGTAGATGGCACATTTGTCTGAGAGTGGCCTAATTTTCCAAAACATCATTAGTCGGCATAAAAGAACACATTTTTACCTTTCGTAATAATATGAGACCAATCAGACTAGGGATGCACGATATTGGATTTTTGCAGATATCCGATATGCCGATATTTTTCAACTCATAGATGCTGATACCAATATATTAAATCAAAATATACTCATGCTATTATGACATCAATTACTGATTTATTTGATTAGAAACACCATGTTATTTGTGTATTTTACTTTCATTTTATTACAAGTAGGCCAACAGCGGCCTAAAAGGACTTACTGGATGGGCATTAGGACCTGGGGGAGGCTGCTGCTGCTGCTGCTGCACTGGCTAGTGACTGATGACTCTATATGGCACGCCACTCGCGTCATTCTGTACTTGTATTCTCAAATTAAATGTGGCAATCCAAAACAGTGAATCTAATCACCATTCAGGCAAAAGTTCGCTTCAAGAATGACTACACTGCCGACGTGATCTTATCGTTAGCACACCCTGAGCACATGTGAGTTATTCGTCTTATCAGCAAGGCATATCGACCTAATTTTTCCCATTGGGCCGATGCTGATGCTGATTTTACATTTTAAGCCATCATTGGCCGATTCGGATAATGTTCCGATAATATTGCGCATCCCTAAATCAAACCATAGTGTTTGCTAAGGCATGCATCACAATTAATATTGTTCATAGTATGGAATTTGAACAAAGTGCATGATTTTCAACTTACAGATGATTAATAGAATAATAAAATTTCCATACACTTCCCATACACTTGTTAATGGAAGAATAAAGTTTGCATATATGGCCTGAATAACCAGATGTATTTCCAATCAATTAAACTGGGTCTCGTATGTGTCTCAAAGTTTAAAGTTTGAGTGATCAGATTGCTATCCTTCTCGCATACTGGAGGGTGTTTACACTTGGCATTTTCATGATTCAATAGACATCTAATCAGTAAATATGCATGAAGTGACGAAATCTAAGTACTTCTATGAGACACAAGCATTGACTCTTTTGAGTTAGGCCAGTAAACAAATACCAGAAAAGGCCTAGCAACCACACAGAACACCCTAGCAATTTCTTAGCAACCACTCAGAAAACACTAAAGCTGTGCTTTTCATCTCTGACAAATGACAGAACAAAAGTCATTAATTTCCAATGAAGAGTAGTACAGGAGCTTCATGACGTTCCAACCAAATTTATGCAGAATTTGTGGATACAATTTAAGCTTCAGATGCATTGAAATATTTCAAGTTTTGCAGCTAAGATCGTACAGTATGTGACCACCTGACAGGATGTGATGAATTCTAATCAAAACTGTAAGTGTGAGGTAAGAATTGCCAACACTTTTGCACTAAAATATTAATTTTTAAATGCTATTTCTGTAAGTAGCCTTCCTGTACGTCCAACAGTAGGGAATACCTCAAGCAATGGTCATGGGTTTGATTCCCAGAGAATGCATGCTTTGGAAAAATGTATCTTGAATGCTAGTCGCTTTGGCTTAAAGTGTCAAATGTGAATGTAAAGTTGGCGGTTATGAATAATATCCAATATAATTATTACATAATTATTTGAATTGTTTATCCTTAGTAAACCTGCTGTGCTTTGCTTTCAAACATATTGACGGTCATTTATTTTCTGTGGACATACAGGTGCATCTCAATAAATTAGAATGTCGTGGAAAAGTTCCTTTATTTCAGTAATTCAACTCCAATTGTGAAACTCGTATATTAAATAAATTCAATGCACAGAGACTGAAGTAGTTATTTATATGTATTGTCAAGAGGAAAATGAAAAACAAGAGACCAAAAATGCAGATGAGCTGGAGCCAACTGTCAAAGAAACCTGGGCTTCCATACCACCTCAGCAGTGCCACAAACTGATCACCTCCATGCCACGCCGAATTGAGGCAGTAATTAAAGCAAAAGGAGCCCCTGCCAAGTATTGAGTACATGTACAGTAAATTAACATACTTTCCAGAAGGCCAACAATTCACTAAAAATGTTTTTTTTTTATTGATCTTATGAAGTATTCTAATTTGTTGAGATAGTGAAATGGTGGGTTTTTGTTAAATGTGAGCCAAAATCATCACAATTAAAAGAACCAAAGACTTAAACTACTTCAGTCTGTGTGCATTGAATTTATTTAATACACGAGTTTCACAATTTGAGTTGAATTACTGAAATAAATGACCTTTTCCACGACATTCTAATTTATTGAGATGCACCTGTATAGGCCTACACTATTTATTTATTTTACCATGGTGAATAAGTGGAGGGTGACAGCTGCTTCATGGCCAAATTGAAAGTTCTGCACATCTGCCACTAGGGAGCAAAATGCGAAAATCATATACAAATGTGGGACATAGTGGAAAGGGGTTTTACCAATGCCATTGCAACCAGAGCACACTAGGAATGATCTAGCAACCTCTCAGGACTCGCTAACAATTCTCTGGCAACCACTCAGAACACTAATATTGAGGCAGCCAGAATTGCATGGTCTAGTTTCAGTGTGTATTTGTTCATTATGCATATCAAGAATTTGAAGTGGCTAATGAATGTAAGTTGTTTTGTTATTTTCATTATCATCGTCTGTACTAGAGACAACCTTGTCGGCCTCCACTTGCAGCATGCTGAAAGACATTTTGTTTACGGTCACGTGGTTTGTGTTAAACAAAACAATTACTTTTCTGCATACTGCCAGCCAAGTCAGTGTTTAAACTTGTGTGTGTGTGTCTTCCAGAGCTGCGGTGTAGCTGCGGGGTGCAATGGAGGATGGGAAGCCTGTGTGGGCGCCCCACCCAACCGACGGGTTCCAGCTGGGCATGATAGTGGATATCGGTGCGGATGCCCTCACCATAGAACCTCTCAGTCAGAGAGGAAAGGTAAGACATCAGCTTTACTGCCCTTGAAATGCATCCTGTTAGCATTTATCCAGTGATCAAGCAGGTGGCGGCCATTGATTTAATGCCACATTATTGTGACTCATACGAGGGACAACTTAGCTTAGTTGCCAAGCACCTTTGATGCTCTATCCCTCCACTGAGACCAGGGTACCACAGGTGGTCATGTGATCAGCGTTTCTGCTAACGTGCTGAGTTTTTCCCACCGCACACTTGATTAACTTCATGATGTGTATAAAAGGCCTCCAGGTATCTGAGCAATAGGTAAAATGTGAGAACGTGTATGTGGAATTGTGCTGTGCCATGTAAGGGTGTCACTTGCAGGGGCTTTGAATAAGTAATGAGCTCTACCTGCTGCAGGTGTGCGAATCACGTTACACACAGTGTAGGTTCATTAGACTAAAAAAAGCCACCTGTGTCTCAGCTGCTTACATGCTCCCTTAGAGACTGTAGCACTGTGTGTGATATTTCTGAAAATGAAAAACCTGACAAAAGCGACTTGTGAGGACATTCTCACAAGGAAAGTTGACTAAATAATGTAATAACTCTTGTCTAAAAGTGGTGCAAGGTGTATTTTAGGGTTAGGGTTCATCCTCAGGATCTTTAATTGAAATATTGAAATAACATGTTAAAATTAAGTTAATATTAGTTCTGAATAATTGTATTATTATAAAAAAAAAAAACTTGCTCATTAAAGTTGGCATGAAGGAAAAGTTTAAAAAGAAAAAAATTTAAGGATGGACTTGATTTTGTCCATCAGGAATTGATTAGGTTGTCATTTGCTAATTGCTGTGATCTCATGTGAGTGACAGATTGCTGGAGGGGATTGATTATTGTCCCGTTCCTCGTGCTGGTGCAGACGTGTCATCAGAGGCTGTGTTTACACTTGTCATTAACATGTGACCTGTATCCGGATGTTGTCCATATACACATTGAAAAGACAAGTGTAAACTCGCTTCTGATCGGAATGTTATCCGATCAGCGTGTCCTGGTCCAGAGGTAGTCGAGGATGCATTGTGATCGGATCTCAGTGTAATGTAAACGCAATCCAGCCATCGTGTCTGCATTCGCAGGTCGACATCACGCCAAACGCCGTCCCCTCTCTCCCGATCTGTCGGATGAACAGAGCGCTAGTGAGACTCGTACATTTATTTTAATTTGCAAAATGTCCCGCGACTGACAATAGTTTTCAAAAGAAAACCCACCACTTCAGGTCGACTTTGCACCGCAGACTTATTTAAATATAGCGCGGGAAATACAGATCCAATCGGTTATCCAGATCGAGAAGTCAGCTGATGTTGCCAAGTGTAAACGCGCCATGTCCTGATTGACTGATGATCCGATCTGCTTGATCAGATCATGGTGATCGCATGTTAATGCCAAGTGTAAACGCAGCCAGAGAAGAGATGCCAGTGCAAAGGGGATGGGATGTTATTTTGATTAAAGATTACAGGGGTACATGATTTAAAAAAAGGAACGATGTACACGGATAAATCATTTATAATAAACACTGCAATATTCCATAAAAAATAAGAATAGTCCATTTTGATTTCATGTTGTTAATATTTGAAATTAAGTCATGTGGTGCAGCCAGACACATACACACAAACAAACAGAACAGGAAAAGATATCATAGATAGGTCGCCTGCAAATCCTTATGACTATTTGTCAAGGTCAGTAAGTCTGAAAATATCAGTTTTCTTTTTGACATTCTTATGACAAAGTCAGCTCAAGTTGTAAAATGTCATGTGGTGCAACTCCTCAGAAACGTATTAAAATAAGCAATAAATTAATTATATAATTAATATGAATTACTAAATTATAGTATTTATTATTTATTTATTATTAATCTTTTTTTAAACCCTAAATTTCTTAACTTTTTTTAATCTATTTCAAAACCATGTGAAACCAACAAGAATAATACAAAGAGTAAATTTCTAAGAACTGTAAGAAGCGATAGATTTTTTTTCTTCATCAGTGACTCTTATTTGTCAGTGGCACATTAGCTTTTATTAAACAAAGATAAACAATGTGTGAGAAGTTCCCACTTGAATATATATTAAGGTTGTGTGTGTTTTTTAGGTCAAAGAGGTAGATGATAACCATGACATTGAGGCAGATAATAACTTTAAATGGCTTATATAAAAGTGAGGGAGTGGAAAGTCAGGAAAGTCAGCAGGGATGAGATGAGTTGTCTGAGAAAGGTCAGCCTGTCTCATCTAGCTCTGAATAACGCACTGGTGTGATGGGCAGTTTTGGGTGTCTTATAATGTGTCATGTAATGGATTTCACAGCTTATGTTCTTACCTTTCACATTAACATGACTTTACTGTTTCTTCTCCACATTATGGCCACCATTAGACACAATCAGTCATGGCTGACCTAGCACCGCTCTTCAGTGTCGTTTGCGCAGTCGTAATGTATGAAGACCTTGAGTGTTTATAGCTTTACACCTCGCTGAAAGTAACCAGACAGAGTAGGAAATGAGAGAACAAACATCTGTCATCATCTACTTGTTTTTTGTCCCATTAATCTTCTGTGTGGTCGTAAATGGTGTGCGCTTTTAATAATATGGAGAAACAGGTCAATGTAGGCAGGTATTGTTAGGCCAAGTTTTTCATTTGGCCAGAGGTCACAAGAGTTGACAATGCTCATTTTGACTTTGCAGACGTTCCTGGCCCCCATCAATCAAGTCTTTCCTGCTGAGGACGATGTGAACAAACATGTTGAAGACAACTGTAAGTATAGTTGTAACCGTATCAGCCATTAGTATCATGTTGAATAGTTAATCTTATGATGTTCAATGATATTCCCATATTTACTTGGAATATATTTACTTACGTGTTTACATATTTACTTCCAGGTTCTCTAATGTATTTAAATGAGGCCACTCTTCTAAACAACATCTGTGTCCGTTACAGCAAAGACTTGATCTATGTAAGTCAAATTCCTGTTCTGAATTCTTGTTTTCCATAATTTCTGTGCCCTTTTCCAAGGCCAAAACTATGCATATACACAAATACTTGGCCAACTCATAACATAAGCAGGGTACAATTTGACAGATTTAGGGTGTAGACACATTAGCAAAATTTTGCAGAGAAAAAAGGTCCATTATCTATTGTCAATAGTGTAGTGATGCTGATGCATGAAGATCTGCTCACACAGAAGTCTTTCAAACCAAGTAAAAATGTCATTGATTTTCACCATAGGGAAATTGATTTTTAACAATTACTTATAAACATTTGAAAACAGACTTACTGTGAGCTTCGAGGATGTTAATCAATGGTATATGCTTTTGTTGAAGCCTTCAGCCCGCATTATTTCAAACTGTTTTTCAAATAATCGTGTTTAGCAGCGGAGTTCCTAATGGAAAAACTACATTACCCATGATTCTGTAAAGAGCAAATCATGCTAAAAGATCTCAGCAGTCAGTGCTCATAGCTGGCTGGCTTGTGACTTTTTTTTTAATCTCTATGGGAAAAATTTATGGAAAAAATACTTCCAGATCCAACTTCACAGAAAAGGTGAAAATTTAAAAGTCTTCACACATGCTCTATTGCTGTCCCCCCGTTTTCCATTGGTTAGACGAACAGATAGTCCCGCCCTAAGCTCACACCATTGTTGGAGCCAATGTTGATGTATTGGTAGGTTGGGTTGCTCATGGGTTTTTAAAGCACCACAGAACCTACCTGAGTTGTCTCTGCATATTAAAGGGGTCAAATGATGTTGCTAAAAAGAACATTATTTTGTGTATTTGGTGTAATGAAATGTGTTTGAGCGGTTTAAGGTTAAAAAAACACATTATTTCCCACATACTGTACATTATTGTTTCTCCTCAATGCAATTTCTGAAACGCGTTGATTTTTACAAAGCTCATCGGAAGGTTTAAGCATGTGACGGAAATGTTACGTCCCTTACCATACTGTGATGCCCTGTCCGGCCGGAGCGACGAGACAAAAACATGAAAACCCATTATAAACGAGGCGTTTGTTGCATCCAGTGGGGACATAATTACTGATTATAATGACTTGTACTGTCTTTTTATAGTACATAAAACCATGTCTGCATTTGTGATCGGAGAAATGACAAACAACAAGCGCTACTCTACACTGCTCAAAACTCGCGTTTGAATCGTCAGTGGCAAATTCTTTATAAATAAACAACCTACTTACAGTCTGTGAGTCAGAACAGCCGGCATTGTAGTCTACTCTACCAGGATCAGGAAACAGTCCTCCATAAAATGTGCTACACACATCTGAATATTTGGGTTGAACTGTTCTGGAACAGTGTTGTAAATACAACTTAACCACTGATTTCTAGTCGTGTCCTCTTTTGGAAGGCCAAACAAAGTAGTTTCGCTTTCACAAAGAAACGTCACACACAGCGGCCTTGAATGAGCGGCGGCTGGCGGCTAGAATGAGCGGTGGCCGGCAGATTCGACGAAGTAGCGTCCGGCCGGCAGGCTTGCGGCAACCACATGTGACGACCCCGGGCTGGACTCCGCTTCGTCCACGGGGAAAGCCGATCCGGCGAACCACATGAATATTTGGGTTGAACTGTTCTGGAACAGTGTTGTAAATACAACTTAACCACTGATTTCTAGTCGTGTCCTCTTTTGGAAGGCCAAACAAAGTAGTTTCGCTTTCACAAAGAAACGTCACACACAGCGGCCTTGAATGAGCGGCGGCTGGCGGCTAGAATGAGCGGTGGCCGGCAGATTCGACGAAGTAGCGTCCGGCCGGCAGGCTTGCGGCAACCACATGTGACGACCCCGGGCTGGACTCCGCTTCGTCCACGGTGAAAGCCGATCCGGCGAACCACAGTTGATGTATTTCCTCAGCGACCACCACGGATCAGCTCTAGGCATGACGCGGATATTGTCCTCTTTTGGAAGGCCAAACAGAGTAGTTTCGCTTTCACAACGGAACACACAGCGGCTCCACGACATGGCAGCGGCGGCAACAATACTACAGTGAGAATAAAAGTTAAAAGCCTTCTTTCTTTGCGTCAACATTTGGGCGGCTTTATGCAAATCTTCCCACATCGTGACGTAGATATGTGGGGGCGTGTTAGAACGAGACGGTTTAGGTAGGTGTGGCTGACTCTTAACTTTTATAAAGAATATCTCTTTGGATTTGAGACTTTAGTCTTTGCAACTTTTATGCACTAAGAGCTTGTAACACTCCAAAGAGAAAGGAAAAATGGAAATTGCATCATATGACACCTTTAAGCTAAGCAATTTAAATTACACCCATAACCTAAATATGTATAACAAATTGCTTGTCTGATGAATTAAAGCCTCTTTTAATGAAACTGCACTTACAATTTTTAACAGATTTGGGTCATTAAATCTTAAAAAAAATGCATGATGTATTCAAATATTTTGCTTAACAATCACCTCAGGGCAGTGTAGGGCGTAGATCTCATTGGCAGGCATGCCTGCAGGTATGGAGCTGATGGGCATGTTATTGTCGTGCTCCAGTAGCCCTTATTAGCCTCTCATCTGAGAGACGGCAGTCCCACTGTCAGTGTACGCTCTTCAGCACAGTTCCTGAGCCTGTCAGGAGATGACCCAGCTAGCATGATTCACGTCTCAGATGACCCAGCTAATCCTGCTCAGACGCTATCAAGTTGCCCAATGCACTTAATTAGGTCCTGTGAGGTAGTGACGCTCCACACGGCGCAGCTAACCTGAAAGTATGATGCTTTGAATGACACTGGTTAAAACATCAACAATTGTTGGGACTTCAGCCATTGATCTGTTTGTCCAAAATATGGAAGACTGCAAATACAAAATCACACAAATAACAATGCACGTTTTAAATGTTCTCTGACCATGCGTTTTATTTCAGACGTCTGTGGCTAACATCCTGATTGCTGTGAACCCGTATTTCGACATCCCTAAACTCTACTCCCCAGAGACCATTAAGAGCTATCAGGGACGCTCATTGGGGACACTTCCCCCTCATGTCTATGCTATTGGTGAGTGGGCATTTGAACGTCTGTCTAATAGGACACTTGAGGATTCAGTTCTAAGTCTTTCTTTTTTAGAAATTTTTTTTTTTAGATGGCTACAGTGTTGACAGTGATTTTAAGAAATGTCTGTCTCTCTCTCTGTCTCTGTCTCAGCGGATAAAGCCTACAGAGACATGAGGGTTCTGAAGATGAGTCAGTCCATCATTGTGTCTGGTGAATCGGGTGCTGGAAAAACAGAAAACACTAAGTTTGTTCTCAGGTATGATAACTGTTAGTATTTTTATTGAATGACGAAAACACTTCAATTAGTATTTCTCACATGCATACAGGGTCCAAATTTAGAAAAAAATGGTTTTTGCCATACCTGACAGTAGTGATGAAGTTAGGACAATATTTCTTTTTAGACATGAAAATATATTTTTTAATAAAAATTATAATTATAAAAAAATATTATGGCGTGCCTATGGAACTGTTCAAAAACATGATAACCCATTGTGGTTTTCATTTTTGTGACTTGATATGAGGATTATTCAGGGAGCCTGAATAAACTTTCTGTAATAGTGTTACACTACCATGCAAATTTTGGGGTCAGAAATGAATATTTTATACAGCAAGGGTTCATTAAATCAGTCAAAAGTGACCCATAAAGATGTTTATAATGTTAAAGAAGATTTCTGTTTCAGATAAATTATTACACACGACTATTTTTACAATGATAATAATAAGAAATGTTTCTTGAGCAGCAAATCAGCATATTAGAATGATTTCTGAAGGATCATGTGATACTGAAATGCAGCCTTGTTGAGACTTCTTTCAAAAACATTGAAAAGTCTCACTGACCCAAAACGTTTGAATGGTAGCATGTTGCAGTGCTCAGTAATGTTACTGGTAAGTAAATATGTTTTGTGTTTTATTGAACAAGTTTTGTCATTTTCACCATGTCTTGATCTGCTTAATTTCAGGTATTTAACCACATCTTATGGAACATGTCAAGATATAGATGAGAGGATTGTTGAGGGTAGGTTCTCCAAAGACACTTTGAACTGGTTGTGTCTAGTGCAGTAATGTCTGCTTTTTGCATATGATGCAAAATCTGTTTTTAAATAATGTGTCTGTTCCGTGCAGCCAACCCCTTGCTTGAAGCTTTTGGAAATGCAAAGACTGTCAGGAACAACAACAGCAGCCGGTTTGGAAAGTTTGTGGAAATTCACTTTAATGAGAAGGTAAACTTTCTCTTACTCTGAAGGCTAGAGTGTGATCACTGTAAGACTTGGTTACTAATTGCGTTCATTGTGTCTTCAGAATGCAGTTGTGGGCGGATTTGTCTCACACTATCTGCTGGAGAAGTCTCGGATTTGCATGCAGAGTACAGAAGAGCGAAACTACCATATATTTTACAGACTTTGCGCAGGGGCATCCGAGGACATCAGGAACATGCTTCATCTCAACTCTCCGGACAACTTCCGGGTCAGTTTCCTGTGTATTGTGTGTGTCAGGAATATGGAAAGCATTTTACCAAGCTTAGACACTCTGTTCAACAGGAAACCTTGAGACTTTGTATTATAATTGGTGCAATGAAAGCAATCTGACAACTGTGACCATAGCAAACAGACTGTATCAAAGCACACAACTGCAGGAAGTGTCAACTGAACACGTCAAATAAAATCCAATATGTGATTTTCAGGCCTTATATACAGTAAACATTAAATACGTGAGACCATGAAAATGTATATGTACCACTAGATGGCATATTTGCTTTACAATGATTAGGAATGTATGTTTGGTCTCATATATTAACTTCCCTCACTGTGTGTTTGTGTTTCACTCAGTATTTGAATCGTGGCTGCACCCGATACTTTGCAAACAAGGATTCAGATAAACAGATCATGCAAAACAGGAAAAGTCCTGAGGTACGTAGAATCATCTGTGTTTGGGAATCTCTGGGTCAGTAACTTGATGAGTCCGTGTCCTCCTTCCTGCATTCTGATACACATTTGTGGCAAATTTAACGTAATAAACAGCCCTAAGCTAAGCTGTAGTTAAGATTTCAGAATTATTTTTGATGTATGATCAAATCCTTGCGTTTTTGTTTGTTTGTGTAGTACAATTAAAGGGGTCATATGATGCTGCTAAAAAGAACATTATTTTGGGTATTTGGTGTAATGAAATGTGTTTATGCGGTTTAAAGTAAAAAAAAACACATTATTTTCCACATACTGTACATTATTGTTTCTCCTTTATGCCACGCCTTTTTGAAATGCGTCGATTTTTACAAAGCTCATCGGTCTGAAAAAGCGAGGTGTGCTGTGATTGGCCAGCTATCCAGTGCGTTGTGATTGGCCGAATACCTCAAGCGTGAGACGGAAATGTTACGCCCCTCACATGCTGTTGATGCCGTGTCCCGGCCGGAGCGACGAGACATAAACATTAAAACCCATTACAAACGAGGCATTTGTTGCATCCAGTGGGGACATAATTACTGATTATAATGACTTTGGATTTAAGACTTTAGTCTTTGCAACTTTACAGATCTTCTTTATGCACCAATAGCTTGTAACACTCCAAAGAGAAAGGAAAAATTGAAATTGCATCATATGACCCCTTTAAGACTAGAGGACATGCTGAATGAATAGACCTTGACCGCAGCCAGCATCTCTGCATTTGCAGGATCACCATTTTGCCTCAGATTGAATTAGTTACCCTCGGAAATTAGTTCATGTCTTTGATGAATTATGTAAAGTGTAATAAATTCCAGCATTGTTGTGTTGTGTTTGCACACAGCCCTCTCTGGAGACCAAGCCCATCAATTGATGTTATTGTTATCAAGGGCCATTATTATAAATCATCGTTGTGTTGAATCCCTCTGGAGGGGATGAGATATTCATTAGCTGCTGTTTCTGTTGGTGCAGTAGTTCATTTGCTAGCTCAACACCGTCTGTTTCACTACATTTTCAGATGAAGATCTGAGATTAGTTTCTTACCCCATATTTGCAGATGGTACTTTTGTTGTTATTTTCTCAATTTTTTTTTTAATCATCCTTGAACACTTGAATATTATAATGAGTTTGGGTTGGTATTAGGATTAGGATGCAATCCATTTTTAATTCTGAATCAACTGAGATTTATCTTCGCTCAGGCTCTGGTCCAAAACCTAGTGAGCAGTCTAGTGCTTATATAGGCAACAGTCTTTTAGGAATGAATCCTAATCAAAGAACCTTATAAGTGACTGACTTGGAACTCTCTACAAAGGCAGGAAGTCTGCGCCATACAAACAGAACTCAAATTGACTTAACTGACAGTTTTTAATCTATCCAGTTTCAAATCTTATTCCAATCTAAGTCGTGAAATAATGAATACTTAGTATTCTCCATTAAAAGAGTAGAGAATTGGACCCATGAATATTATCTCTACAGCCTTTTATGAGAACTGTATATTTGTATTCAAATTTAAGCTAAGCTTTTAAAAAGTCACGGTGTCCCAGACACCAATATTTTAACGATTCATAAAAGATTAATCACTGTATGGCCATCTGAGATTTCGGTTAGGATGTGATTTTTCTGTAGTATTACAGCACACCGTGAGTGTATTTTAGCACCATTTATTCTTTGCTTTTGGCATCTGATAGAGGGTTCAGACCCCGAAAAGGTCATATGTGGCGTCCGACTTAAGCGGATAGAGTTAGATTAGCATGCTGCTAAGCTAACAGCATCATACTCCAATAAGCATTAAAATACAAAGCACACACAAAAATTGGGTAAAATAGCCTTGTAAATTTGGTAACACTTTCTATGAAGCCCATATTTATAATACATTATAAGGGTATTCTTAAGGCATTGTAATGAGTGCATCATGCATTATAAAAACACTTATAATATGTTGTATCATCTCATGAATAATCATAACAACAATTATAATACATTGTAATACTTGCGCATTTGTGGTTATAACTTTTAAGAGTATGATTATATATAACACACAATTAATACCATATTAAATCCACTTAATTTATAATGGATTATCTCATATCGTGACATTGTTTAATTCAGTATTTTACTACATGTTGAGTGTTTTTGAGGGTTTCCTGTGTTAGCTAGTTTAAGATCAGTTGTAATACTTTCAAATTTTTTTTATTATTAGATTACATTTTATTTTGATGGTCCCCTTAGTCTATTGACTATAAGCAACTTTGCAACTCCATGTCAACTAACTCTCATTAGAGTATTAGTAGACTTCGGTTAAGGTTGGGATTGGTAGAATGTTGACGTACTTGCAAAGTTGCTAATAGTCAGTTGAATGTCTGTTGGGGAACCATCAAAATAAAGCGTTAGCAGATATTTAGCAGACATGCTACTAATAATCCAATGACTGCTAGTTGACTTGTAGTTGCAAAGTTACTTATCAACAGTTGTCTAAAGGGTACCATCAAAATAACCATACTGATATTACAAATAAAATTAGTTCAATGCAAATGTGAACACATTCATCTGATCTGATAAATACTCAGAAAATAATAAGATGTACTAAGTTATTGTGCAGATCTTAAGCAATGGTAAGTTATGAGACTTATAATACATCATAACTATGGGGAATATAATTCATTGTTACTTAAGTGGATGCAACATGTTCATTGTATGTTATAAATCTATAAATCATTAAAAGCTATAACCATAAATAAGTATTATAATACATTAAAACTGTTCTTATGATTATTTATGCGATGATACGATGATACATAAGTTATTTTTATAATGCATTATTAATTCATTATAATGCCTTAAGAATACCCTTATAATTTATTATAAATACGGGCTTCATAGAAACTGTTACTGTAAATTTTTTAGAGCTACTATTCAGAATTGAAAAAGATTTCAGTGTATTTATGATTTTGTTCCAATTAGCCATCTTGAATTGAACTCAGTGCATTCTGGGATTGCCAAATGAACAAAATATATATGCAAGGCTGCCTTAGAATTTGGCCAATACTATGTTTTTAAAGTGCCCAGTGTTTCTCAACCCTTTTGATTTTAAACCTCCCCTTCTCAAAGACTATATTCAAAGGCCCCCAAGATATTTTCTTATCTACTGTATTCCATAATGACAAAGCTGCTCATTTTCTTATTTACAGAAAAAGTAGAAATTTATTAAAGTAATCACAAACAACTTAAGAAATACAGTATAATCTTACTATTTAAAAAAAAAAATGTTTTAGCTTATTTTAAGGTTTTATCATTGAAATCCTACCTATGTATGCTTTGAAACAGAGCACTACTTTTCTAGCCATTTTGTTTATATTAGTAGTTTTCTAACTGAATATTATGTGTCTTTGCCTTCTCTGATCTTTTTAAAATTCAGGATCATAAGGTGATGTTTTACCAGTTGGCCTTTCTAAACGCTTTTCATGCTTTACGTTCTTCAACTTTCTGGGTTTCTGTGCATGAAATTAGTTATTAGTATGTGCATGGGTCTGCAAGCTAATATGCATGAGGCTTTCTGTGTGAAAAAAGTATTTTTGTAAGGGGTGCTTGTAGTTATGGGTATTAAACAGCGTTTAAGCTCTATTGTGGTCAGAGTGGTGTGATCTGTTTTGTCATCCGACTGCAGATTATCAGTACATCAGTGACTTAAAGGCATAGTTTGCCCAAAAATAAAAAAAATTCTGTCATCATTTACTCGCTCTTGTATCCTTTAAACACAAAAAAAGATATTATGAAGAATGTTTATGTCACACTTTTCAATGCAACAGCAGCATAAAGCTTTCCTCAAACAGAAAATCATTCAAGTTTTGGACAAAGTGTGAATAATTGATGACATAATTATATATTTTTTTGGAATACGACTGTAAGAGAGTGTCAAAAAGGAAGTGCTGGCACACTGACCCTCAGGTGTGGTTTGTTTTCTTTTCCTCCTTCCTTCAATCAGAGATCTAGATGTGTATACAGCCCTTTCTGATCTCTGATTACAGCTGCTGTGCCACTGCATTTCCTTCTCAGGCACTTGCAGTGTGTGTGACGTATGGATAGTGTTGATTCTGGAACCGTGTGTCTTGATGGTCCATTGTGTCTGTAGCACGGGAAGGTGGGTGCCCTGAAGGACCCTCTGCTGGATGACCTGGGAGACTTCAACAGGATGGTGGTGGCCATGAAGAAAATCGGCCTGGATGACACAGAGAAGCTCAATCTCTTCAGAGTGGTGTCTGGTGTCCTTCATCTCGGCAATATCGACTTTGAGGAGGCAGGAAGCTCCTCTGGTAGCCATTCATATAGCATCTGTAGAAAAATAGATTTAATGTCCTAACCCAGCATGATGTGACAAGTTTCAAGCATAAAGTAATTTGTATCCTGCATAAAGTGACAAAATTACAACCAATCAGCACATATTTGATGCTTCATATGCAACCAGTGAGATTTCACTCTATATCTATTGCAATAAAGCAGAACTAGAAACCAAACAGCCGATAAAATGTCTTGTGTCATTTGCAATTATGCTGGTTAGGACAAAAAAGAGATGGGGTTTATTGCTTGTTGCTTTGTCATGTCATGCTTGGCTTAGAAGTATTTGGTTTCTATCAGGTTAAGAGACTTCAAAATATGACCAATTTTGCTTTTATATAGAATTTGCACCATCGGCGTTCAGTCAGGGAAGAAATTTTCACTGATGTCTGAAGTGTTATTTTATTATTTTCCAAGCTCATGCTCATGTTCTCCTCATTAAACTCCCTCACACTCATACACACACACACCACACCCATCCCTCCTCCAACTCAAAAGACCTCATTAGAGAGCTGCTGTGGGGGTAACCGGGCTCTTTCTAGTGTTGCCAGACATGCATCCAGGATTTGTTTTCCTCTTCTGATGAAGGTACAACACCTTTTAACGCTCTGGCCTGCTCCATTTCTCTGCTCACAATGAGATACTTTTTAGCTGGAAAAGACAGAATCTGATTTTATAGAGGTCTTACAGGAGACCTGAAGACTATTGTGTATGAGCACATGTTTTTTAAAAGGGCTGAGATATGATAGAAGAGTTATAGATTTGTTTACACACTTATAGCTCTTAGACAACACTGATGAGTCAAAGGCACAACTTTTTCTTTTTTTTGTATCTATTTTAATCTATTAGGAACATTTTTTGCAGGATTAAGTTTCCAATGGGGATGTCGTGGCCTAATGGTTATAGAGTCGGACTCGTAACCTAAAGGTTGCGGGTTCGAGTCTCGTACTGGCAGGGATTGTAGGTGGGGGGAGTGAATGAACAGCGCTCTCTCCCACCTTCAATACCACGACTGAGGTGCCCTTGAGCAAGGCACCGAACCCCCAACTGCTCCCCGGGTGCCGCAGCATAAATGGCTGCCCACTGCTCCGGGTGTGTGTTCGTGGTGTGTGTGTGTTCAATGCTGCGTGTGTGCACTTTGGATGGGTAAATGCAGAGCACTAATTCCGAGTATGGGTCACCATACTTGGCCACATGTCACGTCACTGTCACTATTAGAATGTTTTTAATATATTAATTAAAATTATTTTTGATCATAAATGAAAAAATGATACAGTGATACAACTGTACTGATATGAAGATAAAAGCCTCATTAAAAGAATGAAATTCCTGTGAAGGAAATCTTTTTAAGTAGTTTGGCATAATCTTTTATTATGTGTAGAAGAATAATATTTTATTTAGGGGGGGAAAACCATGAAAGTTTTATATTAAATATTATAAATATTTAAAAAACCTGAAATCCATGTTATAAAGACCATATAAATAAAAAAAATCAACAACATAGAGGATTTATATATATATACACACACACAAACGAACCTTTTTTCAAAATACTAATTTCTAAATTCTAAATGTACATTGAAACATTTATAAAGCTCTGCTGTCTAGACACAGCATAAGAAACGTGATGAGCCACAGTTTAAAGATGAGCATTACAAATTTTCATCTGGTCTCAGGTGGCTGCATTTTGAAGAACCAGACCAGTCAGACTCTTGAATACTGTGCCGAACTCCTGGGCCTGGACCAGGACGACCTGAGAGTCAGCCTCACCACCAGGGTCATGCTCACCACTGCAGGGGGCGCCAAAGGCACAGTCATCAAGTGAGTGACCCCACATGTTTACCTTAACATCTGCTCAGCCACTGACCCTCCGGCAGCTTGATTTGTTTTGTCCAAATGAGGATCAAAAGATGACCAAAAAGTTACCACAGATCCCTGCTTGGTATTTTCCACACTCTCCTCACATCTCAATCTTCCCCGCGATGCAAAACGTCTTCTAGTATTACATTTCATCATTTCACCCCATTCGCATTCACATAACTGTTAAATGAATTCTCCGGTCGCCCCCTCACAGATGAGAGGAGAGCTGAAAATAGCTATTCGCAGCTTTTCCATTAGAGATATGGTCAGTATAATCAAATGTGGCGCTGCTAAGCTAACAGCATCATACTCCAATAAGCATTAAAATACAAAGCACACACAAAAATTGGGTAAAATAGCCTTGTAAATTTGGTAACACTTTCTATGAAGCCCATATTTATAATACATTATAAGGGTATTCTTAAGGCATTGTAATGAGTGCATCATGCATTATAAAAACACTTATAATATGTTGTATCATCTCATGAATAATCATAACAACAATTATAATACATTGTAATACTTGCGCATTTGTGGTTATAACTTTTAAGAGTATGATTATATATAACACACAATTAATACCATATTAAATCCACTTAATTTATAATGGATTATCTCATATCGTGACATTGTTTAATTTAGATATGCACAGTATTTTACTACATGTTGAGTGTTTTTGAGGGTTTCCTGTGTTAGCTAGTTTAAGATCAGTTGTAATACTTTCAAATTTTTTTTATTATTAGATTACATTTTATTTTGATGGTCCCCTTAGTCTATTGACTATAAGCAACTTTGCAACTCCATGTCAACTAACTCTCATTAGAGTATTAGTAGACTTCGGTTAAGGTTGGGATTGGTAGAATGTTGACGTACTTGCAAAGTTGCTAATAGTCAGTTGAATGTCTGTTGGGGAACCATCAAAATAAAGCGTTAGCAGATATTTAGCAGACATGCTACTAATAATCCAATGACTGCTAGTTGACTTGTAGTTGCAAAGTTACTTATCAACAGTTGTCTAAAGGGTACCATCAAAATAACCATACTGATATTACAAATAAAATTAGTTCAATGCAAATGTGAACACATTCATCTGATCTGATAAATACTCAGAAAATAATAAGATGTACTAAGTTATTGTGCAGATCTTAAGCAATGGTAAGTTATGAGACTTATAATACATCATAACTATGGGGAATATAATTCATTGTTACTTAAGTGGATGCAACATGTTCATTGTATGTTATAAATCATCATACTCTTAAAAGCTATAACCATAAATAAGTATTATAATACATTAAAACTGTTCTTATGATTATTTATGCGATGATACAACATATTATAAGTTATTTTTATAATGCATTATTAATTCATTATAATGCCTTAAGAATACCCTTATAATTTATTATAAATACGGGCTTCATAGAAACTGTTACTGTAAATTTTTTAGAGCTACTATTCAGAATTGAAAAAGATTTCAGTGTATTTATGATTTTGTTCCAATTAGCCATCTTGAATTGAACTCAGTGCATTCTGGGATTGCCAAATGAACAAAATATATATGCAAGGCTGCCTTAGAATTTGGCCAATACTATGTTTTTAAAGTGCCCAGTGTTTCTCAACCCTTTTGATTTTAAACCTCCCCTTCTCAAAGACTATATTCAAAGGCCCCCAAGATATTTTCTTATCTACTGTATTCCATAATGACAAAGCTGCTCATTTTCTTATTTACAGAAAAAGTAGAAATTTATTAAAGTAATCACAAACAACTTAAGAAATACAGTATAATCTTACTATTTAAAAAAAAAAATGTTTTAGCTTATTTTAAGGTTTTATCATTGAAATCCTACCTATGTATGCTTTGAAACAGAGCACTACTTTTCTAGCCATTTTGTTTATATTAGTAGTTTTCTAACTGAATATTATGTGTCTTTGCCTTCTCTGATCTTTTTAAAATTCAGGATCATAAGGTGATGTTTTACCAGTTGGCCTTTCTAAACGCTTTTCATGCTTTACGTTCTTCAACTTTCTGGGTTTCTGTGCATGAAATTAGTTATTAGTATGTGCATGGGTCTGCAAGCTAATATGCATGAGGCTTTCTGTGTGAAAAAAGTATTTTTGTAAGGGGTGCTTGTAGTTATGGGTATTAAACAGCGTTTAAGCTCTATTGTGGTCAGAGTGGTGTGATCTGTTTTGTCATCCGACTGCAGATTATCAGTACATCAGTGACTTAAAGGCATAGTTTGCCCAAAAATAAAAAAAATTCTGTCATCATTTACTCGCTCTTGTATCCTTTAAACACAAAAAAAGATATTATGAAGAATGTTTATGTCACACTTTTCAATGCAACAGCAGCATAAAGCTTTCCTCAAACAGAAAATCATTCAAGTTTTGGACAAAGTGTGAATAATTGATGACATAATTATATATTTTTTTGGAATACGACTGTAAGAGAGTGTCAAAAAGGAAGTGCTGGCACACTGACCCTCAGGTGTGGTTTGTTTTCTTTTCCTCCTTCCTTCAATCAGAGATCTAGATGTGTATACAGCCCTTTCTGATCTCTGATTACAGCTGCTGTGCCACTGCATTTCCTTCTCAGGCACTTGCAGTGTGTGTGACGTATGGATAGTGTTGATTCTGGAACCGTGTGTCTTGATGGTCCATTGTGTCTGTAGCACGGGAAGGTGGGTGCCCTGAAGGACCCTCTGCTGGATGACCTGGGAGACTTCAACAGGATGGTGGTGGCCATGAAGAAAATCGGCCTGGATGACACAGAGAAGCTCAATCTCTTCAGAGTGGTGTCTGGTGTCCTTCATCTCGGCAATATCGACTTTGAGGAGGCAGGAAGCTCCTCTGGTAGCCATTCATATAGCATCTGTAGAAAAATAGATTTAATGTCCTAACCCAGCATGATGTGACAAGTTTCAAGCATAAAGTAATTTGTATCCTGCATAAAGTGACAAAATTACAACCAATCAGCACATATTTGATGCTTCATATGCAACCAGTGAGATTTCACTCTATATCTATTGCAATAAAGCAGAACTAGAAACCAAACAGCCGATAAAATGTCTTGTGTCATTTGCAATTATGCTGGTTAGGACAAAAAAGAGATGGGGTTTATTGCTTGTTGCTTTGTCATGTCATGCTTGGCTTAGAAGTATTTGGTTTCTATCAGGTTAAGAGACTTCAAAATATGACCAATTTTGCTTTTATATAGAATTTGCACCATCGGCGTTCAGTCAGGGAAGAAATTTTCACTGATGTCTGAAGTGTTATTTTATTATTTTCCAAGCTCATGCTCATGTTCTCCTCATTAAACTCCCTCACACTCATACACACACACACCACACCCATCCCTCCTCCAACTCAAAAGACCTCATTAGAGAGCTGCTGTGGGGGTAACCGGGCTCTTTCTAGTGTTGCCAGACATGCATCCAGGATTTGTTTTCCTCTTCTGATGAAGGTACAACACCTTTTAACGCTCTGGCCTGCTCCATTTCTCTGCTCACAATGAGATACTTTTTAGCTGGAAAAGACAGAATCTGATGTTATAGAGGTCTTACAGGAGACCTGAAGACTATTGTGTATGAGCACATGTTTTTTAAAAGGGCTGAGATATGATAGAAGAGTTATAGATTTGTTTACACACTTATAGCTCTTAGACAACACTGATGAGTCAAAGGCACAACTTTTTCTTTTTTTTGTATCTATTTTAATCTATTAGGAACATTTTTTGCAGGATTAAGTTTCCAATGGGGATGTCGTGGCCTAATGGTTATAGAGTCGGACTCGTAACCTAAAGGTTGCGGGTTCGAGTCTCGTACTGGCAGGGATTGTAGGTGGGGGGAGTGAATGAACAGCGCTCTCTCCCACCTTCAATACCACGACTGAGGTGCCCTTGAGCAAGGCACCGAACCCCCAACTGCTCCCCGGGTGCCGCAGCATAAATGGCTGCCCACTGCTCCGGGTGTGTGTTCGTGGTGTGTGTGTGTTCAATGCTGCGTGTGTGCACTTTGGATGGGTAAATGCAGAGCACTAATTCCGAGTATGGGTCACCATACTTGGCCACATGTCACGTCACTGTCACTATTAGAATGTTTTTAATATATTAATTAAAATTATTTTTGATCATAAATGAAAAAATGATACAGTGATACAACTGTACTGATATGAAGATAAAAGCCTCATTAAAAGAATGAAATTCCTGTGAAGGAAATCTTTTTAAGTAGTTTGGCATAATCTTTTATTATGTGTAGAAGAATAATATTTTATTTAGGGGGGGAAAACCATGAAAGTTTTATATTAAATATTATAAATATTTAAAAAACCTGAAATCCATGTTATAAAGACCATATAAATAAAAAAAATCAACAACATAGAGGATTTATATATATATACACACACACAAACGAACCTTTTTTCAAAATACTAATTTCTAAATTCTAAATGTACATTGAAACATTTATAAAGCTCTGCTGTCTAGACACAGCATAAGAAACGTGATGAGCCACAGTTTAAAGATGAGCATTACAAATTTTCATCTGGTCTCAGGTGGCTGCATTTTGAAGAACCAGACCAGTCAGACTCTTGAATACTGTGCCGAACTCCTGGGCCTGGACCAGGACGACCTGAGAGTCAGCCTCACCACCAGGGTCATGCTCACCACTGCAGGGGGCGCCAAAGGCACAGTCATCAAGTGAGTGACCCCACATGTTTACCTTAACATCTGCTCAGCCACTGACCCTCCGGCAGCTTGATTTGTTTTGTCCAAATGAGGATCAAAAGATGACCAAAAAGTTACCACAGATCCCTGCTTGGTATTTTCCACACTCTCCTCACATCTCAATCTTCCCCGCGATGCAAAACGTCTTCTAGTATTACATTTCATCATTTCACCCCATTCGCATTCACATAACTGTTAAATGAATTCTCCGGTCGCCCCCTCACAGATGAGAGGAGAGCTGAAAATAGCTATTCGCAGCTTTTCCATTAGAGATATGGTCAGTATAATCAAATGTGGCATAGACTAAATTGGCTGAGGGTCTGTAATAGTCTAGTTGCCTTCCAAAGACTTCTGCATTTAAACGGACGTATTTCTTTTTATTGATTACGTAACAGAGAAGGCCTTTCACGAATAGGCTGAGGTACCAAGCAGCTTTTTCCACAACGCTCCACTACTTTTTAAAGATAAGTCTCAGGTTTGCAATTTTGTGAAACAAAAGCCCAGGTCTTCTCAGCTTTCTCCATGCAAAACCCACAGTCCAATTACTGCACAAGCCTGTTGTCAGTAGAGAAATGGGAAAAACTCGATTGCCTCGACCGAATCATAATGCTCCGTTCTTCGTCGCCCAGGTGGGGTTTTATATTCGGTGCCGACTGAATGATAGGCCATTGCTCGGTGGATTAATATTTAACCAAGCACAGATGCTAGACTGGGAGTGTTTGCACTGCATGAATAATGGATGTTTGTCTGAGGGAGTGGCCTGGGGTCTTTTAGGTATGATGAGAATCAAAGTCGCAAGAGGTTTCACTGCCCTCCTCATTTGACTGCGAACAGATGCACAACCATGTACATATGCGATATGTGTTTTATGGAAAATTATGGCGACTGTATTCAAACAAGGCTACACTGACCCTTGCAATTCACACTGCTAAACACCGGAGAGGGCAGCAGCTTGTGCCAGACAGAGCTTCATTTCAGAGGCGTATTGTGATTTTTAAATATCAGTTAAACGCAACAAAGCAGGTGACATTGAGAAGGAAGAGCGCAGCAGCCTCTCGACACACATGCTATGGAGGGAATACACTAATAGCATAAAAGCGAGTTAATGAAAAGCAATCTCGCAGACTCAAGATCGTAGAGATTATTGTGAGCCAGGTCCAGCTTTTATTAACTGTGCAGGCAATAAGAGTCACACAGCAGGTATTCCCACAGCGAAGAAGGTTTTATCATCCAGTTCTGGAGTTTCAGTTCGCTGGTCTCCGTATGCCTCCTGAGGATAGTGGGTAGCCATTGTGTCTTGTGATTATGAGCTGCTTTGCTTTAACAGGCGTGTGTTATAGAGATTTATTGTGTTTTCATGTAATATCGCTGCACTGCTCCATTTCAAGCCCTTTAAGCTTCACCGGGATTTCAAGTGCTGTTTGTTCTGCGTGTATACATTTATCAAAGTTACCACTGCAAAATAAGTATGAATTGCACCTTTACCTTACTGTTTTCAGTTGAATTATGCAAGTAATCTGCAGGAGAACCATTAAGTTGTTTTTTTTTATACACTTGATGAACAACAAAGCAGAAAAGGAGGATGTTGGCATGAAGGATGTTTTTGTATTAAAAGTAGTCTAGGCCATTTAGACCCAGTTATTTGCATGCCATAAACATATTTTCTTGCATAGTTTTAGGAATAGTGGTCTTTGGGGGACTCGTGTAACTGTCAGTTTTGGAAGAAAAAAAAAAAACAAGAACTTTCTTTCAGCACTCTGCAGAGCAGAAAATTGTCCCGATTTACCTTCGTCCCCATAAATACAAGCCCACCCCCCCACCCCCCTAAAAAAATCTCTTGTACATCATTGCCAAACAATTTCACTAATGTTTAAATTTTAGTCTGTAGCAGCTTTAATTATATTAGTTTGTCTTCTGTCTAACTAGAAACCTCTATTGTCAGGTCAAATAAAGTTAGAGAAGATTTTTTTCAGCAGCCTTGAGCATTTGCAATCATAATGGAATTGAGAGGAAAATAAATTACATTTTGACTCCAAATTATTTCTCGTTGGCGTTCTGCTTTCCCCTAAAGTGTTTTTTTTACACATTTTGCTTGGAGTGGTAAAACAGCAACTGTCTTAAGAGTGCAAAGTTGGACGAAGTAAAACAGAATGGACATGTATTGATGAGGCGGCATTAGCAAAAGGCCTGGCCCAGATTTTGACTCCTCCTGTCCCACTTTGCTCCTCTCCAGGGTGCCTCTGAAGGTGGAACAGGCCAACAATGCCCGCGATGCCCTCGCCAAAACCATTTACAGCCGGCTCTTTGATCATGTGGTCAAACGGGTCAACCAGTGCTTCCCCTTTGATACGTCCTCCAACTTCATCGGCGTGCTGGACATCGCTGGCTTTGGTAAGGCTGTGTGATATCTGCAGTGGATGGGTCACATTGCCTTAACACTGATTTCAGTGGTTCTTTAATGTTCAAACATATCAACTAGATGCATATGAGAAATGAGACAACCTAGTCTAATTTTAATAATTTCTTGTTTATTTAATGATGTAATGATTATTCGTCTTAATTACATATTTTTTTACATTTATGTAAATACGGAGCTCTTTCTGAGATTTTGACTTGCGTGAAGTTCTTGAAAAAAATATTATTTAAGATGTCAAAATTATTTGTCAAAAATGATTGAAAATAATCAAGATAAAAAAAGACAGAAATGCACTTTCAATTTCTAAATATAATAATAATATATTAAAAAGAGCTAATAAAACACACTTTCAATTAAAGTCCATGAGGTAAGCATGCAATACAGTAGATGTCTATGGAGTAAGCATATTTCCATTTCAAGTGCCTAACTGTAATTTTTTGGGGGTTTTTACAAACTGAAATTATTTACCATGGTAATTGACAGCAGCAGATGCTGTCTATTAATAGAGGTTAACTTGTATCTAACCTGGAATATTCCATTAATGCTAAACTTTAAAATAAACTTGGTATGGGATATGAGTCATTGAATATAACAGACGAAGTGATTCATTAGCTATTAGCTTGTCTTATGCAGAAATAAGGTTACGAATATGCAGTAGGATTAATGATAGTTAGCTCTCACTAACGGTCTCTCTGAAATAGTGTAACTCTTAAATGCTTTTAGAGATATACCTAGAGCATGAATCACAGAATGCTTTTTTTATATTCCTGTTCAGAGTATTTTGAGCACAACAGCTTCGAGCAGTTCTGCATCAACTATTGTAACGAAAAGCTGCAGCAGTTTTTTAATGAACGCATACTGAAAGAGGTGAGTCATCAGTGTTATTGGGATTTTTAGTATTGATCAGTGAATCATAATTACGCCCTTCTTAAAACTGACGCATGAAGCCATTTCATCTGTATTCTTTTTTTTCTTTGCAAGCACACAACTGTTCCGATTTAATGATTCCAGTTTAACTTCTTTTGAGACGTTCTTGTTCCAGCAGATTAAGTTAAGCATTTTCCCACTTTCAGCAAAAACGATGCACTTTTATCTTGTGTTTTTTTTTTTTTTCTGCCCAGGAGCAAGAGCTGTATCAGAAAGAAGGCCTGGGAGTGAATGAAGTTCATTATGTTGATAATCAGGACTGCATAGGTCAGTGTCCCTTTGGCTGTGAATAACAATGTCCTTCCTCCATTCCATTCATTACAGGATGCGCTATGGCCCATTGACGCCAACTTAAATATAATGAAGTCCTCCGCACGTAGAAATGCTATGGTCTCTAAACCCAATGTGCTACAGCACAAATGTAATTTCTTCTCAAATTCTGACCTTCAAAGGTCAAAAAAACTGTTCCCAGATGACAAAACATAGTTATTTGTATACATCGCCATGTCTGTTGCTGTCTGGACAAATCATGCCGAAGATGAATATTCCAGCAGAAATCCATACTGGGTGCCTGAGATAACACAGGAATGAATCCTGGGAGAAACCTCTATTGAGCTCTCTGGAGAGGGTTTAGGAGATAAGATGAAGAGCTCGCACTGTTTTAGTTTTTTGATGCCGGCTTTAAGGGTGATCACTTGAGCAGTGCAGTCTGACCCAAATCACCCTGTCAGAAACAGAAAGTCAGTTAAATCTCAGGACACACAGTGAAATCTTCACCAGGTTCACTGAATGCAAATACCATCACCAGACCGAACAGTGCTGTCTGGAGGTATCAGAACCAATGTCTTTTACCTTTTTAGTTGGTCAGTATTTTAACCCTTAACGACTTATTGAAGATCTTCCTCGTATGTATTGCAAAAGAAACCACCTCTTTTTTTTGTTTGTGTGAGCGGCTTGTGTGAGTTTGCACAGTATGCAGGTGGCTTAACATAACATCTCACGTCTGATGCAGCGCAAAAAGCGGGCACAAAAACCCTTGCATATCGCAGATGTCACTTCTTTTCCAAAGGGAAAAACTCACTTTCCTTTCGCCAGCTCTGCTTTTCCTAATTCTCTCGATAGTGATGCAACACATGTCCTTGTGACTTCCAAATGGACGCATAGGTCCTTTCCCTGCATGTCTCCTCATCAATCACCTCACAATTATACTCGGGTTTCTGCTCATGCAAATACATGACTGCGCTTGCATCCGCACCTCTCTCACCTGCGCATGTCTCTGATGAATTATGCATATGACGGATGCCTTCGCACTGATTAGCAAATAGGTCCATGTGTGCCTACAGAATTTGCATTCGTCCATTAAACTTGCTGAGTTCTACTTCACTTTGGGTAATACCTTCGGCGGGGGGATTGAATATATTAATTTACTATTCAACTCGAATTCATTCACATGAAAAGTTTCTGTCATCAGTCCCAAACTTCTCTCTGTGACTTTACTGCTTTGCAGATCTGGTTGAGGCAAAGCTGGTGGGTATCTTGGATATTCTGGATGAGGAGAACCGTCTTCCCCAGCCCAGTGATCAGCACTTTGCAGAGGCGGTTCACAGCAAGCACAAAGATCACTTCCGTCTCACTGTAAGATATGGTTTGGTTCATTCCAACAGCCAATACAGTATAGCAAAGAAAAAAAACAAACCACCAGCCTGCAGGATAGTTTCATACAGCCCCTCAGTAGTTAATAGTTTATCCTTCATTCTGGACCACAGGTCAGTTTTTTCACTTTCTGCATTTTCATCTGACCTTCAGTGTCAACATGTACATATCTTAAGGGATTGTTAAAGAGTAGCCTAATATTTAAAGGAAGATGGAGTAAGATCCCCCCCCCCCCCCCTTTAATACTCCTCCTGACTGTAGATGTCACTGAATCTCATCTCAGCACATTTATTTAATAGTTATGCTCTTTTGAAGGCAAATGTAATTAATTTAGATTTGTATTGTTAATTGTTATTTTATATATATATATATATATATATATACACACACAGGTGCATCTCAATAAATTAGAATGTCATGGAAAAGTCCCTTGGAGTATAAGTCATTGTTTAATAATTTTTTTTTACATACATCCTCATTATTCATCATAACCTATAGGCTAATTGAATACATAGGCCTGTATTAAAAAAATATACAGTGTAATTCAGATGTTTCTTTTTGTCTGGGATTCATCTGATTTGTCATGTAATTGTTCAACTAAATTGTCAAAATGCATACATTTACTTGAATGTTTAATTTAGTATTTCACGTTACTGACACTTAAAAAAATCATAAAAATATGTGTTTTAAAAAACTTAGGGGGATATCTTTTGCCCTAGATAGGGAGTCATCTTACCACAGTGGGGAAAGATGGCCTTTTTTCCTGATTTTTTATTTTGTGTTATAAGAATTAAATTAGCAATTATTTCCATTAATTTCCCTAAATAATATATTGGATGAAGCATCATTATCCTGTTATCCATACTAATGTTGTTTCCAAATATGTTACAGTTTAACAATAAATTCACACCTTAAAGGGATAGTTCACCTTCAGTTGCTGGTCCCCATTGACTTGCATAGTGTTTTTTTTTCTTTTCTTCATACTATGGAAGTCAGTGGGGACCAGCAACTGAAGGTGAACTATCCCTTTAAGTGAGGCATCTTCCGCCATCAATATTTCCATGTGGCTTATTACAACAAACATGTCTTATGCTAAAATTAAATAATACATTAAACTAAATATAAACTACGAATATGCATAGTGTATATTTTTTGCCATTACATTAGGCTACTGAAACTTAATGTGCTTGAAAATACAATGGCACAATGCATAATTAGGCTACATTTTCTTTATGTAAAATTGTGTTTGCTACTTTATTTCTTTTGATTTATGGGGTTAAATATGACCAGGGCATTTCTTGGTAGTTTTGAATGTGATTCACCCTGACAGTCCAATCAATGTCAAGACCCAAATATGAAGGAAGTAGTAAAAATACAGCTGCAAAGATGGATTTTGCTGAAAGTTTAATTCTGTGTGTGTTGGTTTTTCAGGTGCCCAGGAAGTCAAAGCTTACAATCCACCGGAATTTGAGAGATGATGAAGGCTTCATCATAAGACATTTTGCTGGCGCCGTGTGCTATGAGACTGTAAGGTCCCAATTCACTTAGTTCATTCTGAATCCCTTTTTGTATGGAAACAGTCTTATTGTTTTAGTTCTGTAACGTGACAATGTTTGACATAAGTTAATTAATTTGTGCCACACTGTAAAAACAATTGGGGCCTTGGGGGAATCCCTTTAGTAAAGTTGGTACCCTTTGGTAAAGTTGTTGGTTTTTTTGTGAGGTTGACTTTGTGTTTATTTCTGTGCCCTGTGGGTTTTGTGTGTATATGGTGTATGTGTGTGAGCAGACCCAGTTTGTAGAGAAGAATAATGACGCCCTCCACATGTCTTTGGAGAGCCTGGTGTGTGAGTCGAAGGACAAGTTTGTCCGGGATCTCTTTGAGAACAACTCCAATTCCAAGGACTCAAAGCAGAAGGCTGGCAAACTCAGCTTTATCAGTGTGGGAAACAAATTCAAGGTGAATCTGTCCTTTAGCTTTACATTACTATTCTCCTGATAGTCAGGTAACACATTTTGTCAAAGTTGTTAACAGGCCTGAAGATAGGACAAAAAAAAAATGAAGGCCTCAAAACTACAGGCTTTCCTCAGATTAGGAGTTCCTCAAATGTTTGTCTTTAGACCGCTTTAGATTTTGTTTTGTGGGGCTTGCTATTCATCAAGTTGTTTTCTTTTTGATCCTCTTGGTAGTTTTGTGAGAGACGTTTTACCTTTTACCTGGTGATCTAATTCCTTTCCTTCTAACATTTGCCCTTTCTCCGTCTTCCTCTCTTAGACCTTCTCCTGTTTCTTCAGCCTTTCCCTGTGAAAAGTTCTGGGGCTGAAATAAATATGTAAAGAGAAACAAGGAAAAAAAGTGAAAAAACTGAAGCTTTTGTAGGGTAAGCCTGGCTGAAATATTCAGTGCCGGCACCACAGGGTAACCTGCAACCTCATAAACAAATGCAGATCTTAGTTTTCTCCCACCCTTTTCTTCAAACCTCTTTCACCCACTTGGTCCATTGCCATGTCTTTGTGCCAGTGTGGCTGCCACATTTTTGGTCTCTGTTGTAGTTGTTTGTCATGAAATCATACACATGGAATTTATACATTAAGAGAACCTTCACTGTAAACACATCACCATGCCATTTATGTCACCATTATATACTGAATTTGTAGAAAAGATCTTCACAGTTGGACTAATACCGGCATAATGTATGACTGTAACTTCCTGTGTGTGTCAAAATGTGTGATACCATTTGCATGGCAGCACAATTCTACAACTGTGTGCAAACTGATTTATTTATTTTTTTTTACGAAAAGATACTCTTAATTAAAATGTACAGTACTCACTCTCACATTTCATTTCTGATTAACTTTCATAGACCCAACTGAACCTTCTACTGGAAAAGCTACGCAGTACAGTGAGTAATGGGTTATTTACTCATTTTAAAAACGCTGGCCACTTGTTTTGGTTATTACTGAGTGTGTCTAATGCATGCTGCAAACCAGGCGGCACAGCAAATGATGCAACGTGACAGTTGCTGATTTATGGCACTAGTAAATGACACATTAAAATGAACAAAATATGCTTGTTTGCTTTGCATGTCAGGCTGTCTAAGTTGGCCATTCTTGGCCAGAATATGCTGTATGGACCCTTTTCACAGACTGTGCAATGATGCAAAAAAGTAAATCTAGCTATTGTTTTTTATATTTTATTTTGTTTAATGATTTAATGCATATATTTAACACCTTAAGATATATTATCCTGGTATTTAATAACAAACAAAAAAAGTCAATGCTGTTGTAATTAATTTTTATTTATTTATTTATTTTTAAAATACAGCTGCTAAGCAAGTGGCTGTAAATTTGTCATCTTTGTCTCTTTTGATTGTTGCAATTTATTGTTTTCTTCCTCTTTTGCAATTTCGTAGAAACACAATAGTGTTTTTAAAAAAAAATAAAAATTTTATTTGCAGTTGCCGAAAATATTGTCTTTCATTTACACTAACGTTTAAACATTTGGGTCAGTAAGATTAAAGAAAAACAAAAATTATTCAGCAAGGATGCATTTATTTTAAAGTGACAGTAAAGATATTTTTAATGTTCCTGCTGTAGTTTATTTCTGTTTCAATCCTGCATATGTGAAAAGGGTCCAGTGTAGACCAGATCCTAAACCATTTAGTCAAAGGTCTTGTCATGCTGACTATAAATAATATAATATATATATATATAAACTTAAAATATATTATTATAACTATAAATAATATAATAATTTCTCATGTGTGTGTGTTGTAAAGGGCTCTAGTTTTATCCGTTGTGTCAAGCCTAATCTGAAGATGGTGAGCCACCAGTTTGAAGGAGCTCAGATTCTTTCTCAGCTACAGTGCTCGGGTATGTATACAATTTTATAGGTGTATTTTTTTAAGTTTCCAATTCATTTCACAGCACTTGTGGTAATGCTTCAAATATTTCAATTTAAGAAAACCTGTCACAAATATACAGCACTCATCAGTTGCAAGCTCCGTTTTAAAACAAATCCCGATATTGCCTATGGTGCGGCCATATTAAATGTGAGCTCCACTGATTTTTCATTATGTTTTGGAGGTGGTGTTACCACAAGAGTTTTTGAAGGTTGCTGTTATTGCTTTTTATAGGCTGTTAGCAAAGTTTTAGAAATAAACTTTCAGGCAAGAGATATAAGAAAAGTATATCCTAGGAGCTGCACTGGTATGTCGATTTGCCAATTAGTTCGATACTTTAGACCTTCGTTGACTAGTCGTGCACCACATGAGATAAATGTAGACTCATCAACTACAGTATTCACCTAGTAGCAAGTAAGTACTAAGTAAGTTCTAAGTGTCCTAGTTTATACTCCTATAAACTCATTCTGTGAGTTTTGTTGATAAAGGCAAGCAGGCAAGCACTTCAGTTACAGGTTGAGTGCACATTACAAAGAATAAGATGTTGAATCTCCCTTTAAACTTGGTTCATGCTTTCATGCTTGCCTGTAATGCAATAAATCCTGTATCTTCACCGGCTACATGATCTGTACTTCTCTTCTCCTCTCAGGCATGGTATCAGTGCTGGACCTGATGCAGGGTGGCTTCCCCTCCCGAGCTCCGTTTCACGAGCTTTACAACATGTACAAGCAGTACATGCCCAACAAGCTCACAAGGCTTGATCCTCGACTCTTTTGCAAAGTAAACCTCTATTGTTTTTGATCTTGATTTGCATCTAAAATGAATAGCTCTTTCTATTCTTATTGTTATTCCCATGATGTTCTTGTGTATATAATTAGGATTAGTATGATAGATGATGGCTAGCTGGATTATTTTTAGAAAAGGCTATATGACCTTTCATATCCATGTGCCAAAGCACACACAGAGTAATCCCTCATTGATTTCCATGATAAATGATAGTGGTTTATCATCGGTAGTTACAGATGCATTTGAAAGTCAAATTGCATTTTAATCATACACCCGTGGTTAAATATAAAGTATTTACTTAATCATAAAATGTACAATTAGATCCTACACTAATACAGTATATGAGCAGGCTGCAATTTAATGATTGATTGCAGTTATTGAAAATTACTCCTTTATTCTGATGATTGCATCATGCTTGTAATGCAATGTCTAGAGTATAATTAAGGTTTAACAATAGTTTTTTTTTTTTTAATTCCTGTCAGGCCTTTATTTTGGATTTTCACATATTTTAGGAGCATTTTTTATGTCTGAAAATGTATTTATATTTTTTCTTTAAATGTTGTTTTTCCCCTGTTTGCAACAATTTGTTTTTCATTTGCAACAACAGCTGGAAATGTTTACCTCTATAATGTAACTCTTTGACAGCTATAATCTTCATAAACACTTTTGCTGGAAAGTGGTATAAGTTGCAAAACATTACTACAGTGCCCATTACTAAACATCGGTTACAGTGTGGTCATGGTGTTTTTGCATCTATTTGGTATTTCTGAGCTCTCAGTGACGAATATGAATTATTTACTGGCTCATTGGAAAGGAAAAGTCTTTTAAAAGTCTATTTTCTAATTCTTAGAAATGTGTTATTTAGATAATGAAAAATCAGGCCTTTAGTTTGTGTTAGCATATTTTAGGAACATATTTGCTTTATAAATGTAATTTTAAAACGGTTTACAACTATTTGTGTTTTTCATTTGCAATACCAGCTGGAAATTTTTCCACTATAATGTAACTCTTTAACAGCTACAAACTTCATAAACACTTCAGCTGCAAAGTGGCGGAAGTCGGAAAACATTACTGACTTGTTTATTGTTTTCAAATCATTCTGATTCTAACTCACGAGTCACTCTTGCAATAATGTTAAAAACTGCACAGAAAACCAAATGTTTAAGTTTCCAAGGCATGAAAACATCAAATGTAACATCATTGAAACAGAAGAGTGTAAGCACTGGCCTGAGGCCATCATGCCATTCTTATTGATCTCTGATAGGCATTTAATAAAGTACGCATTCTGCTGTCTTGATTGTATTGTCTCCTTCTGCAGGCTCTGTTTAAAGCACTTGGCCTCAACAAGAATGATTACAAGTTTGGCTTGACCAGGGTTTTCTTCCGCCCTGGGAAGGTAATAATTTCTTATGATATTTCTCATGAGGGTTGGAATAATACAAGACTGTTAAAACTGCTATACTGTTTCATTAAGCTGGCACACATGGGAACCTCATAGGTGTATTTTTTTAAGTTCCCAATTCATTTCACAGCACTTGTGGTAATGCTTCAAATATTTCAATTTAAGAAAACCTGTCACAAATATACAGCACTCATCAGTTGCAAGCTAAAACAAATCCCGATATTGCCTATGGTGCGGCCATATTAAATGTGAGCTCCACTGATTTTTCATTATGTTTTGGAGGTGGTGTTACCACAAGAGTTTTTGAAGGTTGCTGTTATTGCTTTTTATAGGCTGTTAGCAAAGTTTTAGAAATAAACTTTCAGGCAAGAGATATAAGAAAAGTATATCCTAGGAGCTGCACTGGTATGTCGATTTGCCAATTAGTTCGATACTTTAGACCTTCGTTGACTAGTCGTGCACCACATGAGATAAATGTAGACTCATCAACTACAGTATTCACCTAGTAGCAAGTAAGTACTAAGTAAGTTCTAAGTGTCCTAGTTTATACTCCTATAAACTCATTCTGTGAGTTTTGTTGATAAAGGCAAGCACATATAGTGTTCAGTTACAGGTTGAGTGCACATTACAAAGAATAAGATGTTGAATCTCCCTTTAAACTTGGTTCATGCTTCAGCTCTGGCCTGTAATGCAATAAATCCTGTATCTTCACCGGCTACATGATCTGTACTTCTCTTCTCCTCTCAGGCATGGTATCAGTGCTGGACCTGATGCAGGGTGGCTTCCCCTCCCGAGCTCCGTTTCACGAGCTTTACAACATGTACAAGCAGTACATGCCCAACAAGCTCACAAGGCTTGATCCTCGACTCTTTTGCAAAGTAAACCTCTATTGTTTTTGATCTTGATTTGCATCTAAAATGAATAGCTCTTTCTATTCTTATTGTTATTCCCATGATGTTCTTGTGTATATAATTAGGATTAGTATGATAGATGATGGCTAGCTGGATTATTTTTAGAAAAGGCTATATGACCTTTCATATCCATGTGCCAAAGCACACACAGAGTAATCCCTCATTGATTTCCATGATAAATGATAGTGGTTTATCATCGGTAGTTACAGATGCATTTGAAAGTCAAATTGCATTTTAATCATACACCCGTGGTTAAATATAAAGTATTTACTTAATCATAAAATGTACAATTAGATCCTACACTAATACAGTATATGAGCAGGCTGCAATTTAATGATTGATTGCAGTTATTGAAAATTACTCCTTTATTCTGATGATTGCATCATGCTTGTAATGCAATGTCTAGAGTATAATTAAGGTTTAACAATAGTTTTTTTTTTTTTAAATTCCTGTCAGGCCTTTATTTTGGATTTTCACATATTTTAGGAGCATTTTTTATGTCTGAAAATGTATTTATATTTTTTCTTTAAATGTTGTTTTTCCCCTGTTTGCAACAATTTGTTTTTCATTTGCAACAACAGCTGGAAATGTTTACCTCTATAATGTAACTCTTTGACAGCTATAATCTTCATAAACACTTTTGCTGGAAAGTGGTATAAGTTGCAAAACATTACTACAGTGCCCATTACTAAACATCGGTTACAGTGTGGTCATGGTGTTTTTGCATCTATTTGGTATTTCTGAGCTCTCAGTGACGAATATGAATTATTTACTGGCTCATTGGAAAGGAAAAGTCTTTTAAAAGTCTATTTTCTAATTCTTAGAAATGTGTTATTTAGATAATGAAAAATCAGGCCTTTAGTTTGTGTTAGCATATTTTAGGAACATATTTGCTTTATAAATGTAATTTTAAAACGGTTTACAACTATTTGTGTTTTTCATTTGCAATACCAGCTGGAAATTTTTCCACTATAATGTAACTCTTTAACAGCTACAAACTTCATAAACACTTCAGCTGCAAAGTGGCGGAAGTCGGAAAACATTACTGACTTGTTTATTGTTTTCAAATCATTCTGATTCTAACTCACGAGTCACTCTTGCAATAATGTTAAAAACTGCACAGAAAACCAAATGTTTAAGTTTCCAAGGCATGAAAACATCAAATGTAACATCATTGAAACAGAAGAGTGTAAGCACTGGCCTGAGGCCATCATGCCATTCTTATTGATCTCTGATAGGCATTTAATAAAGTACGCATTCTGCTGTCTTGATTGTATTGTCTCCTTCTGCAGGCTCTGTTTAAAGCACTTGGCCTCAACAAGAATGATTACAAGTTTGGCTTGACCAGGGTTTTCTTCCGCCCTGGGAAGGTAATAATTTCTTATGATATTTCTCATGAGGGTTGGAATAATACAAGACTGTTAAAACTGCTATACTGTTTCATTAAGCTGGCACACATGGGAACCTCATAAATTCAGCTATATAAATCTCAATGTGTGTCTGTGTTTGCCTCAGTTTGCAGAGTTTGACCAGATCATGAAGTCTGATCCAGAGCACCTGGCCGAGCTTGTAAAGCGGGTCAATAAGTGGCTGGTGTGCAGCCGCTGGAAAAAGGTCCAGTGGTGCACACTGTCAGTTATTAAATGTACGTCACCCTTCATAACCACAGAAACTGCCTTTCAAAAAAGCAATTAGAAGCATCCCACGCCCTCCCATTCACCTTTACAGTGTTACATCTTCTTCCTCTTTCTTTTACTTGGCACAGTGAGGAACAAAATGAGCTTCAGGGCCAGTGCCTGCATCAAGATTCAGAAGACTGTTCGCATGTGGCTATGCAAAAGAAGACACAAGCCTCGGTATGTACACACACACACACACACCAGCATGCCTCTATTAGTGACCGGGATTTCTCATGCATTGCAAGCTCAGTGTGAGGATCTGTTTTCCAACACTTATGTCAGTGTGGTGTCTCTGTGTTGTTAGCATCTATTTGGTGTTTTTGGAAAGCTGTCAGTGAAATATCTGAATTGTTTATTGGACAAATCTTTTAAAAATCTAGTTGAAATTGTCTTGCAATATGTATTCATGTTTGCTTCATATGGTTTTGAAAAGCTTTTTTTCCCCAAGAAAAATTTAAAATTTTTACTATCTTGAAACAATCTTAAAGGAACAGTTAATGCAAAAATGAACATTTGCTGAAAGTTTACTCGCCCTCAGTCCATCCATCTTTTAAAAATCTAGTTGAAATTGTCTTGCAATATGTATTCATGTTTGCTTCATATGGTTTTGAAAAGCTTTTTTTTTCCCCAAGAAAAATTTAAAATTTTTACTATCTTGAAACAATCTTAAAGGAACAGTTAATGCAAAAATGAACATTTGCTGAAAGTTTACTCGCCCTCAGTCCATCCAAGATGAGTTTCTGTTTCTTTATCGAAACCGATTTGGGGAAATGCAGTATTACATCACTTGCTCAGCAGTGGATCCACTGCAGTGATTGGGTGCCATCAGAATGAGAGTCCAAACAGCTAATAAATGCATTACTTTAATCCAGTCTATCAGTTAATGTCTTGTGACGTGAAAAGCTATGTAGCAAATCCTTCATTACGATGTTTTTATCTTCAAACTGTAATCCATAATAACGCTTCCTCTAGTGAAAATTATAGTCTCAATCATCTCGTCTGAATATGTTGGGGGATTTTGATGCGAGAGGACAACAGGGGATACAGATTTTCACTGCAGGAAGGGATATTATGGACTCGTTATAAATCCTTAATGATAGATTTGTTTTATTGCAAACACACAGCTTTACACTTCACAAGATGTAAATTTAAGAACTGGAGTTGTGTAGATTATTTGTGGATTATTGTGATGTTTTTATCTGCTGTTTGGTCTCATTCTGACGGCACCCATTCACTGCAGAGGAACCACTGGTGAGCAAGTGATGCAACGCTAAATTTCTCCAAATCTGTTCCAGTGAAGAAACAAACTCATCTACATTTTGGATGGTCTGAGGCTGAGGAAATTTTCAGCACATTTTCATTTTTGGGTGAACTATTCTGTTGTGCAAAGGCAAAAGACCGTAACTTCGTTTTTGGTTGAAAAATGAGTTGTTGATATTTTTGAGACATTCAAGACCTCCTTTATCATGTGGATAAGTATCTTGAGTCAATTCCGTTGTTTTTTTTCTGAGAACATAATGGGTTATTTTAACAGTAACTTCGAAAAGCTCAGGAGAAAACAAGGCAGAACACTGTATAACTCCAGTTACTGCTCTTTGACTTTGCTTTAGAACGCTCAGATTGAGTTACAGTGTTCTGCCTTTGTTTAGCCGTGCGTCAATATGAAGTTACTGTGCTGGCCTGGAGTATACGGGATTCTGCCTTTGTTTTACTGTCCATTAAAGTCTGCCGCATTTAAATTACAGTGTAGCTTGTGTTATTTCATACATCTATCTAATTCATTTGTCCAAAAAATTGCAGACAGATCGCGATCTACCAAACTGCTCCATATAACAAAACACTGTAAACAAGCAAAGACTATATAACTTGGCTGCAATAATTAATCGTAAATAATCTTTAAACTTTTTCTTTCTTTTTATAAGGCAGATTATTCTTTATTCTTAGTGCCAGCATGTCAGTCTGGGGCTGCCCACTTTTGCACGCGCGTGGACTTGAACGCCGTGACAGCATAGCATGATCACATAAAATCAGTAGATTTCGCAATTAAATCCATATCCTACCTTTTCTTGTAACCCGATAAAATCCATGGCAATGAACGTCATCGGAGATGTTTAATCCACAAGCAATTATTCCTACTGGTTGGCGTTCACATCAATCCACAAGTCGTTCTTTTAGTTAGGCTATTTTCATTCAATTTGATGTAAAAGCAATAGGTTAAATATGTCTTGCATTCTTTAATGTTAGTGAACATTGCAAATAAATTGGTTGCAAAACGATATCCACTCACGTTTAACTTTTTATCTGATTGTTACGATCAGAAAAAAAAATAAATACAGTCACATTACTGTATGTTATAGCCTTCTAATGATTTTGTAAATGGTGATCAGCAATCAAATATTGTATATAATGTGGCTGTTACTGCCTTTTTCCTTGGCGTGACTTCTCACTATTTGCCGACAATGCAAAGGCAGAGTACAGTAACTTCAAAATAGGAGTAAAAATCAAGTTTGAGCTCCAAATTTTTTATGTAGATAATTTTCATTACTAAAATATCTAACTGAAAATACAGTCACATTACTGTATGTTATAGCCTTCTAATGATTTTGTAAATGGTGATCAGCAATCAAATATTGTATATAATGTGGCTGTTACTGCCTTTTTCCTTGGCGTGACTTCTCACTATTTGCCGACAATGCAAAGGCAGAGTACAATAACTTCAAAATAGGAGTAAAAATCAAGTTTGAGCTCCAAATTTTTTATGTAGATAATTTTCATTACTAAAATATCTAACTGCCAGATTTTCAGTGTCCTACCTATAATTAATTTGTCTGGACAGATAAAAATCTTTAAAGTCAGTATTCCTTAGTATAATATAATAAATAATAATAAAAAAACTTGATATTTAGTTTTTATTTTATGTTTCCTAAAATGACCCAAAATATCAAAATGAGATCTAATATAGAAGAACATTGAAGATATCATTGAAGAGGTGTACAAAATATGTATTTTTGAATAAACTAATAGACCCTATTCTCTTTTCTCATGGCAGCATTGATGGCATGATGAAGGTGAAAAATTTGAGGAAGAGGATGGAGAAATTCAATGAAGCTGTGATTGGACTCAAAGAGGGAAAACAAGAAGTGAGCAAACAGGTTGAGGAACTGGCCGCCTCCACCGACGCCCTCATGACCAAAATCAAGGTGAGGTTTTCCACTGGAAAACCGCCCAAGGTCGTCAAACCCCTTTTCACCTCCTTCAGCTCACAAAGCACAATGATGTTACATGGTGTAGCTCTTTTCTTAGTCTGCTGTCGTGTATCGGTTTCCATGCATATTTCAACAGGTGTGTGTTTTTCCATGTCCTGATGAAGGCGGTCTAAAGCTGTGGCTAGAATTGTCTGCCAGCTTCAAGTGTCTCTCTTCTTAAGTTCTTAGGGCTCAAAGAAAGAGAACAGAAGTGTTTCATCTCATTCAGCAGAAAATCTAGCACTCAACAGCAGAGTAAATAAATACAAAGTATGCAAATCGACAGTCGACAATGAGATTTCTGTCTGTAGATCATCATTGACATTCGCACCACATGCTGTCAAGTCGATTTTCAAAGCTTTGCCGCATTATGACGTTTCTAGTGTTGATTTCTTGCCTTCCTCCGAACTTTCTGCTTTGGCTGATTGAATGCAGTATATGCATTGTTGTATTCTCTACATGGAGCCCAACCTCATCTGTCAGACTCGGAGTGCATTATTGACACGGAGCTCGAGAGACATTGCACCCTCTCCCTGATAGATAGCTGGCACCAGAGCTGAAACTTTTCTACCTGAACATTCTGTTCCTCCCTTTAAATGAGATGCGCTCTGCACTTCTGCACCCGTGATAGCCCTCTTTGTTATTAGCATAGCACGTTTTGATTAGCATGTGGTTTTTGATTGGCAATGCCTCCTATTACCTTACCATCTGGACTGGAGATTGCTGTGGCCTCCCTGGCTAATAACGTAGATTGTTCTATCAATGGCTGTCATTCAACACACTAGCGCGAACTCATCTAGCGTTAGGGGGTGAGACGGACCTTGTCATTGCGTCCCCACCCCTCTGCAGTACAATGATCATTCACAATGCTTGCACCCCTCCACGCACCTCTGGTGCTCTGCCAGATGGCACAAAATCCACATCCAGGTTTAATGAATATCTGCAGGATATTAAAACAACTGCGGTGAATGTGGCCCAGCGTCACCGCTGTCGCCGAGCTGATGAGTAACCACTGAGTTGCTGCCACTTTCTTGTGAAACCCTTGTTCAAATTTGTTTAATGAAGCACCAGAAGAAAAGCTTTTTAAAGAAGCTACTGTAGAGTTCAACCAAGTGGCCTGTCCTGTCATCATATGTCATCATTTACTCACCCTAATATCATTCCAGCCTCTTATTATTACAAAAGGAGATATTTAGGCAGAATGTGCAAGCTTCTGTTTTCCATACAACAAAAGTGGATAGTGATTTATGCTGTCAAGCTTTAAAAAGTATACAGTATAAAAATAAGTCAAATATACAACTGACAAACACTAAGACCTCTCGTGGTAAACAATAACCAACAGATCAAACTGAAGATGTTATTCACTGAAAATCTTCCCCTCAAAATCTCATTTGCAGTCATGTTTTTAAATACATATGGAAATCAATGGTGTTTGCCATCGGTGATGTCAAACCTGCCTTGACATGTCCAACAGCATTATTATTTAGTTGCAAACAAGCTCAAGTGACAACACTTTTGGTGAGTAACAGGAACAATTTGTTCTTCACAAAAAACTATTGTATTGTTAGGGAACACAGTTTTACCCCATATGACAAATACGTTTCAATGAAGAACTTTTAAGAGTCAAGTTAAAAGTTGACTGAAGTCAGAGTTCTCCACACTTTCAAAAGCCATAGAAAATGAGTAATCTAGCCTCTAATTTAGAATACAGAAACACTAGTATTATAGGCATATAGATAACAAATAAAACAAAACATCACACTCTAGAACTCTTGATTCATTTGACTGCATGATGAATCAAATGAATTAATTACAAACAATTGCATCTTTTATTCTCTGGAAGCTGGGCTAAATGAATGGGTCAGACTCTTGGTCATATACCAAATACAGACATTGAATATAACATTAATACCAGAATAGATGCAATGGATTTAAGAAAAGTACAATTCCCAATTGAATTATTCCCTATTCATTATATAACAAAAGAGGAGGGCATCCACTCCTTCAAGACAAATACGTTTCAATGAAGAACTTTTAAGAGTCAAGTTAAAAGTTTACTGAAGTCAGAGTTCTCCACACTTTCAAAAGCCATAGAAAATGAGTAATCTAGCCTCTAATTTAGAATACAGAAACACTAGTATTATAGGCATATAGATAACAAATAAAACAAAACATCACACTCTAGAACTCTTGATTTTAACTTTTTTATTAAATTACATAATTTAGTTTTATGTAACGTAAATGTGATTACCACATAGCTTTATAGCCAGTTGGCTGCTCCATTTATACAAGTTATTTATTCATTATTCATTATTAATGATAATGTCATGTAACAATAATATTAAATATTATAATAATTAATTATAGTATAGTATATAATATATTAATAATAAATAGTATGTGCAGTACAGTATAGAATATATCTTATAATATTAATAAGACCCAGAATCCCATTGTCAAAAGTGATGGAGAAGATCATTCAGTGTGGCCTGCTTTTTACCTCAGTAATCTAGCCTCTAATTTAGAATACAGAAACACTAGTATTATAGGCATATAGATAACAAATAAAACAAAACATCACACTCTAGAACTCTTGATTCATTTGACTGCATGATGAATCAAATGAATTAATTACAAACAATTGCATCTTTTATTCTCTGGAAGCTGGGCTAAATGAATGGGTCAGACTCTTGGTCATATACCAAATACAGACATTGAATATAACATTAATACCAGAATAGATGCAATGGATTTAAGAAAAGTACAATTCCCAATTGAATTATTCCCTATTCATTATATAACAAAAGAGGAGGGCATCCACTCCTTCATTATGACTTCAGAAGACTTGGTACTGTATCATGCTAACTGACCTCACATCAGATAAATGACTGACAACCCAAAAATCCTAGCAAACTGCTGTGCTGTCTTTTTTTATTCAGTTTTGTTTGTCAGACTTACTAAACTATCGGTGACATACAAGCCTCCTTTTTTTGGGTAAATATTGGGATTGCGTAAATACAAGTGTTGAATGAGTGGTAGACAGCATGAACTAAACTTGCACATTTTTAATGATTGTCCAAAGGCAATACATCTCTACATTTGCACAAAAGAAATGAATAGTAGAATGCAGTATGGTGGATATTTTTAGAAAGTGATGGTTTAATTAGTGCTTTTCTGACGACTTGACGCTTGTGTAGATTTCCCCTTGTAATTTCGCCATTTTCTCGTATTGTGCCATTATATTTAGATTTCATCATAACAACCTGAAACAAATGTTTTCTGTTTGCACAATGATAAACAGCATTTTACGGAATTAGTTCCAAAATCATCATGCACATCAGTAAGCAAGCTGACTCACTCTTAGAAAGCTGTGAGTGTGGTTAAGTAATCACTGTCGTTGTAAAGTCAAATGTGTGGAACACTTTTAAGATACTTTAATGGAGCTTTTTTTTTTTTGCCCTTTTGGAGCTTGGCAGTATAAATCAACATTTACTTTTACTGTATTGAAAACTGAAGCTCTCATTTTGTGTTTCACAGAAGAAAGGAAGTCACACAGGTCTTGTATTTCTATTGAGTTCAGCACACAACATGACCATGTCTGAACAAGTGACTCTTAAGAGCCTCTTCTTTTTAGCGAATGACAAACATACAGCATGGCCAGTGTTGCCCAATTCCTGAAACAAATGACTCTTATGAGCCAGTTCTTTTAATGAATAGCTCAAAGAGAGGAGTAACCAGTTTTAATCACTGAGTCTGAAACACTTCCCTGTAAAATTTAATTCATATGTAAGCAGAGCAGACATTATAACTAAAATATGCATAAAATATATACAACCCAAATAATTTAAATCAAATCCATTTTAACACTCTCTTTTTGACTTTACCCTCAGTCTACGGTGATGAGCCGCAAGGAGATCGAGCAGGAGTATGAGGGCCTGGTGAAACGCTCGGAGCAGCTCCTCTCCTCAATGCAGAAGAAGAAGCAGGAGCAGGAGGAGACGGAGCGACTCAAGCGCATCCAGGAGGAGATGGAGAGAGAGCGGAAGAGGAGCGAAGAAGAGGAGCAGTTGCGCAAACAGGAGGAAGACGACCGCCGCATGTAAGTCACGTCGCAAGTTTCGAATCGGATGAACCATACATTAGGTCAGAGTCCCAGCGCGTTTGAAAGAAGAACAGGAGCTGAAAAAAAGGGTGTGGGAGGGGATTGGCAGAGAGATTAATACATCACTGGAGGGTTCGCCTTGACCTGCTCTCTCTTGTGCATTCTCCAGAGCCTGCTGTCATGGACAGCATCTGTCATCGTTTCACGAATCAGGCCATGATGATATTTCTATGTTTATAGTCTTGTCAAAGAATATTCAGTTCCACACAAGTAGATGCAACAAAAGCAACTTTTATCCCACTGCATGCTTTATGTTTGGTGCGGCCCATCCACCCTGGAGCCCTTCCTTATGGATTACTAAATTATCTGGATTTAATTTTTTAACTTTTTTATTAAATTACATAATTTAGTTTTATGTAACGTAAATGTGATTACCACATAGCTTTATAGCCAGTTGGCTGCTCCATTTATACAAGTTATTTATTCATTATTCATTATTAATGATAATGTCATGTAACAATAATATAAAATATTATAATAATTAATTATAGTATAGTATATAATATATTAATAATAAATAGTATGTGCAGTACAGTATAGAATATATCTTATAATATTAATAAGACCCAGAATCCCATTGTCATAATGTGATGGAGAAGATCATTCAGTGTGGCCTGCTTTTACCTCATACATTTATTGGAGCCAACATTTTGCTGTACAACTCCAGTCAACATACATTAACAACAACTAAAGGTTTGGATTAGCCTTAAGTTCTTTGCACACTCTGTATGGAGAACTTTTTAAGAATGCTGTCTGCTGTGCCATTATGAATTTGAACCTGCCCCTTATAAAATATTATAATTTTCTTTGTTTTCTGGCCAGGTAAGAATACTAGCTTTTAAAGCGAACCTTTAAAAGTTTATCTGCATACATTAATAATTATGACATTTTACAAAATAACATGTTAAGAATTGCATTCATTCTTTTGATGGCTCTCACTAAATATCGAGGGTTTCATATACAGTAGGGTCCAAAACTTTGAAAATCTGGTCACAAAATCTGGTATTTAAAATCCAATTTACAACTGGAAATAAAGTTTTAGGATTATGATGTCCTGTAAAATTAGTTATAAAAATAGGATATTACCATTCAAAAGTGTTTTTTGTTTGATAAATTATTTTATTCAACAAGAACACATTAAATTGATCAAGTGACAGTAAAGACATTTATATTATTACAAAGATTTCCATTTCAAATAAATGCTGTTCAGAACTTTCTATTCATCAAAGAGTCACAGTTTACACAGAAATATTAAGCAGCTAAACATTGATAATAATAAGAAGAAATGTTCCTTGTGCACCAAATCAGCAGTTTAGAATTGTAACACTGAAGACTGGAGTAATGGCTGCTGAATAACTTTGCCATCACAGGAATAAATTGCATTTTAAAATATATTAATATAGAAAACAGATGCTACTTCTACTATGACATTTCAACTATTTCAGCTCAAATGTTGCTTTCTTTAAAGCAAAAGTGTAAATTGTAAATGTAAATTTAAATTAGAAAAAAATTAATCCAGTGCTCTGAGACTTTTGGACCCACTGTAATGCAAATTGCACTCCTTTATTGTGAGCAGCAAAACATTCACTTGAAATTATATAATTACTGTACCCTCCATGCCCCCTCTTCATGCTTATGTTTTAGAAATCTCCCTATTTTCAAGGTCTTCAGTTTGGCAAAGTTGCATATATCAGTACCCAAATCCATTAACAACAAAGTGCAAAGAAAGATGCAGCAGATTTTGTTGGCTGTTTGTGAGATGTATAATATACAGTGGGGCAAATAAGTATTTGATACACTGCCGATTTTTCAAGTTTTCCCACTTACAAAGAATGGAGTCATTAACGGTCCACCCTCAATCTCTCTCCCATCAGGAAAGCCGAGATGGAGCAGAAGAGGAAACAAGAGGAAGAGGAGAGAAAGAAAAGAGAAGAGGAAGAGCGAGTCATGCAGGTGTGTATGTGTTTAAGTGCTCCCTCTGTGTATTGATTCCTCTCCTCCGCTGACTCCTTCGGAAAACCAAATGCCCACTCCGTCTCACGCTGGCATGTTCAGAGCTGGCCAGGACTGGCTGTTCTGCAGGCATAATCATGACTGTATTGAGCTGCCACAGTGGCCTGTGGGTTTATTCATCAGCCCCTGCCTACCTCCTGGGGCTGGATTATGCTGCGTCTGTGGAGTGAAAGTCCTATGTCCCCTCTCTCCCAATGGTGATGCTGTGTTTGGGGGCTTGGCTGACTTCCCTTGCGCGCTGCTCCCTGTGAATGAATGAATCGTCCTGCAGAGACACTTTGTGCCCATGCTGCCCGAAAACTGTTGCACACTCTTCACAGGCTTCTGTGCTGCTTTCTATTCTATTCTATTCTATTCTATCCCAGGGCTAAATCCTGTTTGATCTATTTTCAATCTACCCCATTTTATATTCAACTGTTCTATTGAATTGTGTTATGAAAATTCTCTATTTTATTCTGATTCTATTTTCTGTTCTGAGGCATCTTCCCTGTTCTATTTTATATATATATATACAGTATATCCTTCTGTGCCATTTTTTAACACTGTTCCATTTTTTAAAAGCTCTATTATTTATTAAAACCCTATTCTATTCTATTCTATTCTATTCTAGAAATTACCTGTTACTGTGACATTTATGTTACAGTTCTCTATTTTATTCTGATTCGGTTCTATTCTTAGGCATGTTTTTTAATGTCTATTCTGTTCTATAGTATACTATTCTTTTCTATACTTTAAGATAATTATTTAATTCCTTCTGAGCCATTTTGGTAACACTTTAAAAATAAAGTTCCATTTGTTAACATTAGTTAACTGCATTTGTTAACATGAACAATACTTCTATAGTATTTATTTTATGAGTTCATGTTTCAGCGTTTACTAATACATTTTTTTAAATTTGTTGTTTCATGTCTTTCTCTCTTTTTCTCTATCTATCTCCCCCTATATATATATATATATATATATATATATATAAGTGTGTGTGTGGGTGATTAATGTGAACTCATCCAGGATGAAGCGCAAATGGACCCCAGCCTGTGCACGTATACACACACACACACACACACACACACCATAATAAAATAATAAAGTCGACATCTCAAACGGCGTCACCAGGTGAAGTCAAACAAAGGAAGACTCCACGCAGGGTTGTGCCCTGGTTACCATTCATAAAACGCACATAAATCGCAGATATTTTTAAATGGAGATTTCCATCTGAAAAGAGCCTGTATGGTCTTGAGTGGCGACAGAACAACAAACAAAGAACAAGGTTCTGCCAGACAGCGTAACATAAATGCCATGAATCATTTTTACTGCGGCCAACCCATGTGTCTACAAAAGCAGGTAAACAGAAACACGAGATGCCTGCGGTGCAGCACTGAGAGTCATATTTCATTTAGTTAATGGAAGTGGACAAAGAAGTGTCACCTGTTCCTACTTTATGTATAATAAAATAAAAGGCTGTTCTGCTGTTATTACATGTGCTAACTGGGTGCTAAGAAGACCGTGTTGTCATCCAAACCTCTTTTTTGTGCTTCCTCTCCCCTCCAGTGATGGTTGTACAGGTGTTTGGTTCTTCACAGAGATGTAAGACCTAGAACAGGCCTCTTTTTTTCCCTTGATTTTCCACTTCATTCAGTCTAACCACACTCACCCACAATCACATCCTGTCCCCCTAATCTCACCACAACCTAGAAAGTCACGCTAAACAATGGGCAAATTCTTAGTTTTGATATTAACCTAAATACTTCATAAAGTACATGAATAAATTCTTTTATTAGAGTTCTTGGATTGAATAGAGACCTAGCACGTGGTTATATTTGTAGATTTGTATTTTCCAACAGAAATGGAGCGTGAACCAATTAAATCCAGGACACAGAACTTGAGTGTTGAAGTTTTTTTTTTTCTTCTTACAAACAAATTTCAAAGTTCATTCTTTGAACAACCCCCAACACTAAATATGAATATTTTGCATTTAATATTAATATACAATAAAATAAAATTGTTTGCTTGACAAATGATAAAATAGGCACAAAAATCACATAAACTTGCACTAAATGAAGGATCCAAGTCATATCTAGAGATCAGATTATCATAGAGTGTTGAGAATGGGCTCTTTTGACTTCGGAAAACACTTATCAACACAATATAGAATGTATAGGAATGCCCTGGCAACCACTCAAAATACTCTATTGTTGTGGCATCTATTTTTTTTACACTTAAGCACCACTCATATTTTCCTCAGAAAATGTTAAAATTTAGTTGTAGATTAGAAAAATTACTAATTCAATTTAATTATTAAAAATTGCTAAAGAAATCATAGACATAGAAAGTGCTTTTAGGAGTCTCTTATAGGTGTTGATCCATTTTGATCTTATTTCCTTTTTCTGTTATGCTAGGAGCTCAACAACCCTATTTCCATTTACTTATGTTGCCTCAAAATATGTGTTGAATTTATGCATGTCTCAAGCTCTCAGCATGAACATTTTCAGCGCTGGTTGATGGTACTTGAGAAAGAATCTTGCCTTTTTGTTTTAGTGTTTACTGAGAAGGGTTGCTTTAAAAGGAAAGATAATTTTGTTGCAGTGTGTTTATGATTCTCATTCTTGTGCTGTCATCTGGAGTCATCAGTTTCAATTAGCTTATAGCAGAGGGAAATCTGTCACAATAAAATATCAGCCTGTTTGGTCTTCTCTGCACATCACTTAGGAAATGCCCCATATGGCAGTTTACCAGTGCTGTGGAGTCATTAACTAGAAGCAGTGGTGCTTCTAACTACCTAAATTTTTTTAATAATAATTTTAGAGGTTTGGGATATACAGTTCTACTGCAATTTTTACGTATTCTATTTTCTACTGAATGCCATAGTCATTGATTGCTTTAAGAAATGCTTAAAATGTATGAATGTCATTGCTTTGCATAAAATATCAAATGACATCTGCAAACTAATTATGGTAAAATGCAGTCTCAGACACTTTTGTTTACTTATCAGTCTTGAAAATGGTTGCACTTATTATTATTTTTGTATAAACAGCATTTATATGAAATTAGTCTTTTGTAACATTATAAATGTCTTTACAGTCTTGTAATAAAATAATATATAGTAATTTTAATATTTAATAAAATTACTTGAAAAACTTAAATTTATAAATCTTCTGCTTGGAAAATGTGCTTGTGCTATCTTTACAATAAATGGCACTTGGTTTGATATTTTGTTATGTATAATGCAGCAACACTGATACATTTTTTAATATGTAGGACACTTTTGTTTACTTATCAGTCTTGAAAATGGTTGCACTTATTATTTTTGTATAAACAGCATTTATATGAAATTAGTCTTTTGTAACATTATAAATGTCTTTACAGTCTTGTAATAAAATAATATATAGTAATTTTAATATTTAATAAAATTACTTGAAAAACTTAAATTTATAAATCTTCTGCTTGGAAAATGTGCTTGTGCTATCTTTACAATAAATGGCACTTGGTTTGATATTTTGTTATGTATAATGCAGCAACACTGATACATTTTTTAATATGTAGATATTTTTTGGGGCTGCTGTATATTTTAAAAGGTATTTCCCCCATTAAAGGGGTGGTTCATTGCGATTTCACTTTTTTAACGTTAGTTAGTGTGTAATGTTGCTGTTTGAGCATAAACAATATCTGCAAAGTTACGAAGTTCAATGCAAACGGAGATATTGTCTTTTAAAATTCTGGCAGTTTAATGCCTACAAAAACGTCTGGTAGAGACTACAACGGGTTACTTCCCGGGTTCGTGACATCACAAACCCAGATAAACCCCACCCTCGGGAAAAGGAAGCAAAGGGGGCGAGGCCATGCTGCGCTGCTTTAGAGAAGAGGAAGAGAAAACTTGAAGTGCACATAAAAATCTATTCATATATGAATCGCAATTCTGTCTTCTAATGATTCTAATGGATTCACAAGTTTCAAAATCAATGTTCTAAAGCAGCGATTCTTAATACTGTTCCTCGCGTCCCCTGCTCTGCATCTCTCTCTCTCTCTCTCTCTCATATTCAGCTCAACTCCGACAATTAACTGTATAAGCTGTAACTGTATAAGCAACATAAGCAGTAGCATTTATAACAGCATATCTAAAAGTATGAGACAACAACAAACAAAAAACATAGGCCTACCATTAAAAGCCATGCTTGCACAGGTTCTGCACGATCCTCTTCATAATATCCTCTGCTTCTCAATCGGGCTCAAACTGATAAGCGATATTAATCAGAATCAGAATCAGAAAGAGCTTTATTGCCAAGTATGTTTGCACATACAAGGAATTTGTTATAGTGTCACAAGCTTCCAGTACACTGAGACAACAACAACACACAGATAATAAAAGTGAGATGTGAATAAAATACACATGCATAAATATAAACCACAAAAAAAAAGAATAAATTGTATGTACAGGTGTGCTATAGATGGAATAGGAATATAATAAAATAAAATAAGTTGTAGTTGTAGTTGTTTACAATACAACTGGATCACATGCCGCTGAGGTGAGGGGCGGGACGGTTAGACGTGCACTAGAGGCGGTTTAGCCAATCAACACACTGGGCTAGCTAACCAATCAGAGCACATCACCTATTTCTGAGGGTGGGGCTTCATAAAAACAGGAAAAGATCAGCCCGTTTCTCAGAGAAGGGACAGAGCTGTGTGGAATAAAGGTAAATTATGTGAAAAATAATGTTTGTTTGTTTTGTTTTTTTTAAACGAAGCATTAACACATATCCCCATAAACACAATCAAGCCTAGAAAAAACCCAGTGAATCACCCCTTTAAGTAGTTTTAATGTAGTTCAGTACTTTTTGTTATTAGTTTGAAATGTAGTAATCACTTTCTTAAATGCTTGCTCGACTGTAGTTTAACTGCTTTGAATTATGAGTAGCTTCCTCAGCACTAGTGTTGACATTTCTTTTCTGTTCCTCTGTATGTTTGAGTTAGCACTGCGCTTACACCTGTATGAGTTAATCAGCAGGGTTGCTGGTTCAGTGACTTCTCTCGCAGGGTCTCCGTTAAGCAGCTTTGCTCTTCACAGCTGTCAGAGTTGACAGAGTGTCGTAGGATTCGTAGGAATAGGAATGTCGTAGGAGTAGGATTGGAATTATGAGCTTGTTATTGAAGTAACCTAATCAAACGACAATCTCTCATAAGGTTATCAGAGTTAATCATTCCTCATACTATTATACAGTGGTCAGCGTAAATGAGTACACCCCCTTTGAAAAGTAACATTTTAAACAATATCTCAATGAACACAAAAACAATTTCCAAAATGAAGTTTAATATACCATCTGTTTAACATATAACATGAAAGTAAGGTTAATAATATAACTTGGATTACACATTTTTCAGTTTTACTCAAATTAGGGTGATGCAAAAATGAGTACACCCCACAACAAAAACTACTACATCTAGTACTTTGTATGGCCTCCATGATTTTTAATGACAGCACCAAGTCTTCTAGGCATGGAATGAACAAGTTGGTGACATTTTGCAACATCTATCTTTTTCCATTCTTCAAGAATGACCTCTTTTAGAGACTGGATGCTGGATGGAGAGTGATGCTCAACTTGTCTCTTCAGAATTCCCCATAGGTGTTCGATTGGGTTCAGATCAGGAGACATACTTGACCACTCAATCACTTTCACCCTGTTCTTCTTCAGAAATCCAACAGTGGCCTTAGATGTGTGTTTAGAATCATTGTCATGTTGGAAAAGTGCACGATGACCAAGAGCACGGAGTGATGCAGCTTCTCTTTCAGTATAGAGCAGTACATCTGTGAATTCATGATGCCATCAATGAAATGCAGCTCCCCGACACCAGCAGCACTCATGCAGCCCCACATAAGGACACTGCCACCACCTTGTTTCACTGTAGGCACCATTTGCATTTTTCTTTTTATTCCTCACCTTTACGATGCCATACAGTTTTGAAGCCATCGGTTACAAAAACATTTATCTTGGTCTCATCACTCCAGAGTATAGAGTTCCAGTAGTCTTCATCTTTGTCAGCATGGGCCCTGGCAAACTCTAGGCGGACTTTTTTGTGCCTGGGCTTTAGGAGAGGCTTATTTTCGTGGACGGCACCCATACATGCCATTCCTCTGCAGTGTATGCCATATTGTGTCACAGGAAATAGTCACCCCAGTTTGGCTTTCTACTTTAGATAACTGCAGTGAACTTGCATGCCAATTTTCTTCAACCCTTCTCATCAGAAGACGCTCCTGTCAAGGTGTTAACTTCCGTGGACAACCTGGACGTCTCTGTGAGATGGTTGCAGTTCCATCTTTTTTAAATTTTTGTACCACTTTTGCTACAGTATTCTGACTGATAAGTAAAGCTTTGCTGATCTTCTTGTAGCCTTCACCTTTCTTGTGTAAATAAATTATTTTCTTTCTCAGGTCTTGTGACATTTCTCTTCCATGTGGTGCCATTGCTGACAGCATGAAATGGGAAGGGGTTTTCTTTAAGTAACCCTTTTATAGTGAACTGTCAAATAATTAGACTCACCTGTGGTTGAATTCTTGTTAAATTAGACATTTGTATTCTAATATTTAGCTTTGCTCCAGAGACTTTCAGTGGGGTGTACTCATTTTTGCATCACCCTAATTTGAGTAAAACTGAAAATTTTGTTCTCTAAGTTAAATTATTTAAGTCAAACAGATGTTATATAAAACTTAGTCTTGTCAACATTTTGTAAATTGTTTGTGTTCATTGAGATATTGTTTAAAATGTTACTTTTCAAAGGGGGTGTACTCATTTACACTGAGCACTGTACTTGGGGTTAGGGCAGGGTATAGGAAAAATTCAGATCAGACTGTGAAAGAAAATCTCATAGGAGGGATGTTACAGCAACTACCCAGAACACCCTAACAACACACTAATAACCACTCAGACCCCCCAAAACACCTCAACAACACAGTGTCAAACACTCAGAACACACATCAACTATCCAGTAAGAACCTAGAAACATGACAAACATTCAGTACACCTTAACATCTACCTAGCAGTGCCTGACAACACCTTAGAAACGGGTTGAAAACTTCTCGGAACCTTAGCAACCCCATATTGCCCTGGGAGCCAGCCACAACAAGTTTGGAACAGAAAACACAGCTGACATTTTCTTAAAACGAATGTAGTTCCTCTCCTCATGCACAGGCTTGTTTGAACCAGTTCAGTGAAGCTTCACATCTAAAATCTTACCTCATTATATTGGATTTACTTTGAATTGCTACTTTCAATTGCCTATTTTTAAAACGGCTGAATTTATATGCATTTGGTCAGTTTAAATTACGAACCCTATAACTCTGTGCACACTCTACTAAAAGACTAATTAGACTGTGGCAGTGGTATCACCGGATGTTTTATTTATTTCTTCAGCCAGCCAAGACCACCTGAAACCATATAAAAAATCCACATGCGAACAGTTGTGATCACATAGTACCCAAGCATTGAATTTGATGTATTTAGTAGTGCCATTAGGATTTGAATCAGGGCGGTGATGTTTTTGCCATTGCCCCACAGTCCTTGGGCGTCTTTAGTAAAGAAGACAACAATCCCTTCTCTGATTAGCTTAGCGCTCCCTGCACCGTGGGAGTCAGGATTGCAAAAACCCACGCAGAGCTCACCTCTGGCCTCACCCTCGCTCACCATTAACCATCGTTAACCGCCATTAACCACCGTTGCGGCTCAGTGTTGCCAAGGCTGCATCTAATTTGCTCAGTGAGGTGTTAATTTGGCATGATCCGTGCTATTTCCAAGTCACTACAAGTTTCAGAGAGAATGTATCTTCACATAAGCAAAAGGCCAATTAATCATCTGATTGTTCTGTGGCTTAGAGAACATTTAGCAGCTGGTAACAGGAGCTTAGGAGATAGATCAGAACATTTGCCTACTGTATGGAGAAATATGAAGCTAAGAAAAACTCAAAATTGTTTCTCCTCTGTGCAATTTCAGGGGTGCGCAGGTGCAGGCCAACAAGGTGGCAGCCGGGGTGAAGAAGAACGACCTGAGCAAGTGGAAGTACGCTGAGCTGCGAGATGCCATCAACACCTCCTGTGGTAAGAGCAATCAGTCCCCTCAATCTGATCGCAGAACTTCCTGCTCACCTGAAGCTGTTCATGTCAAAAAGCATGTCATTTTGGAGAGTGGAAACTGTCATGTAATATTTTGGAAGATGGAGGGACTAGCATGTAACATTTTGAAGATGGAAAACAAGCATGATGGTGATGGCGACAGCGCAGTTTGTGGAGTGATTGATTTTGTAGCTTGTTCTCAATCCATAATTCATTTTGAAAGTCAATGCATTATATATTCTGTCTTTTTATTTGCAGATTTGTTTATTTGTCTTTTATGGTAGTTGAACCATAAATCACAGAGACTTCACTCCCTTTTGTACTTTACAGTCTTTCTGGTCTGTCATGATGGTTTCATTTTCAGTTGTCTTGACTCAGAGGAATAGTTTACTCCAAAATGAAAATTATGTTTTAATTACCTCACGCTTTTGTCAGTTCAAACCCATATGATTTTCTTTCTTCTGTGAAACAAGATGCTTGGCAGAATTTTCTGGCTACTCCTTTCCACAGATCAAAAAATAAATAAATAGATACAGTAATTATGCACCATAAGGACCAAAAAGCACCATAGATGTTCTTGAGGACTATATTTTAAGTTTTCTGAAATTATTTAGTGAAGTGACTTGTGGCCAAGTATGGTGACCCATACTTGGAATTTGTGCTCTGCATTTAACCCATCCAAGTGCACACACACAGTAGTGAACACACACACACACCGTGAACACACACCCGGAGCAGTGGGCAGCCATATTGCTGCGGCGCCCGGGGAGCGGTTGGGGGTTCAGTGCCTTGGTCAATGATCTCACCTCAGTCATGGAAGAGAGCGCTGGTTGTTCACTCCCCCCACTGACAATGAGACTCAAACCCGCAGCCTTAAGGTTACAAGTCACTCTTTCTAACCATTAGGCCACGACTGCCCCATTTAGTTGTTATTCATTGAAACCCCTCTGCCGTAGCTCTCCTTTGTGGTCAGAAATATTCAAAGCTCGAGTATGTGCATTCACTAAAGAGATTTGAGGATCTACTGGTGGGCATGATTACTCAAAGCTATCATATAACTTCAGAAGACGTGAATAATAAATATAATGAATATAGTGCACAAGTGAGATGGACTAATTTTATTATGGTGCTTTTTTTTTTTTGGAGCTGGATTTTCCCTATAAACATTCCCTTTATTGTATGGAAAACAGCAGCTATGGCAGGGGGTGTCTACCAGTCCTGCTCTAGGAGGGCCAATATCCTGGAGTTTCGCTCCAGCCAGCTCCAACACACTTGCCTGGAAGTTTCTAGTGAGTCTGAAGAGCTTGATTACTTTGGTTCAGGTGTGTATAATTAGGTTGGAGCTAAACTCCGAACAGTGACCCTCCAGGAACACGTTTGGACACCCCTGAGCTAAGACATTCTGATAAACATCCTGTTTTGTATTCTATTCAATAAAGAAAGTCATACAGATAGAATATTTAGGTTTAGCAGATTGGTAACCATTTAAGGAATATCTTCATTTAATTGAACCTAGACAAACTTTGTAAAAGTTGTTCCATGTTCATGTTCTGCAAGAATCTGACCACTTATAATGAAAGGTCATGTGAAACTCTGCTCGTTATGCGTGACAATGCAGTATTGACTATGTAATCTCTTACTCTTGTAGATATAGAGTTGCTGGCGGCGTGCCGAGAAGAATTTCATCGTCGTTTGAAGGTGTACCATGCCTGGAAATCAAAGAACAAGAAGCAAAATACAGACACCGAGATGAGGGCTCCCAAATCGGTCACTGACTATGGTAAGATATGACCTGTTTTCCCTAGAGAACGGCTTGCACGGTGGCGGAACAACAGAATACAAATTGCTCTGTGCAGTCGTGTGTAGCTGATGATTTCATTTGTAATGGCAAAAGGTGATTCAGCATAATATTTATTCTAGAAAGATACTCGTCTAAACTTTTTTCTTATGCGAATGTGTGTTGCAACAATTTTTCAAGGTTGAATGTGCACTTTTTGTTTGTTGTTCTTTTCACGAACCTTGCAGCGCATTTTGTGATTAGCGTTAGCATTGTCATGCACAATGCAGACAGCTAAAAGCACATCTAAAGGCACTCGCTGCTGTTTCAAGGAAATCAAACCTCTCGTTGATTTTCCTACTTGTGACAATACAGTATTGACTATGTAATCTCTTACTCTTGTAGATATAGAGTTGCTGGCGGCGTGCCGAGAAGAATTTCATCGTCGTTTGAAGGTGTACCATGCCTGGAAATCAAAGAACAAGAAGCAAAATACAGACACAGAGATGAGGGCTCCCAAATCGGTCACTGACTATGGTAAGATATGACCTGTTTTCCCTAGAGAACGGCTTGCACGGTGGCGGAACAACAGAATACAAATTGCTCTGTGCAGTCGTGTGTAGCTGATGATTTCATTTGTAATGGCAAAAGGTGATTCAGCATAATATTTATTCTAGAAAGATACTCGTCTAAACTTTTTTCTTATGCGAATGTGTGTTGCAACAATTTTTCAAGGTTGAATGTGCACTTTTTGTTTGTTGTTCTTTTCACGAACCTTGCAGCGCATTTTGTGATTAGCGTTAGCATTGTCATGCACAATGCAGACAGCTAAAAGCACATCTAAAGGCACTCGCTGCTGTTTCAAGGAAATCAAACCTCTCGTTGATTTTCCTACTTGAAAGGCAAGTCACTGTGTTTGGTTGCTGGAAGACTTTAGTGCTTTTTAAGTGTTTGCTTGTGCAGAACAAACAGGAGATTTAGAGTTCTGTGACCTGCAGGTTCTCTTCAAACTTTCCGGCTCTCTTGTTGTGAAATCTTCAGATGTGTCTTTCCTTCAAACAGTGGAGTGTTTGTATCAGGTGCATGGGGCTTATGCTGCTTCTCTCCGAGAGATGAAATCAGGCTTCTGGCTTTGTAAAGTCAATACTGAAGCACTGAGAACTTCTCTGAGAACTTTCTTGACATTATGCCGACCTCCGAAGCTGTTTTATCTTTAGGGATGACTGATTTAAAAGTCATATATGTCTGGTTGATACATATTTGTGAGCATAAAGTATAACTAGATGGTTTGATATAAAGAATTTGATTTGAACATATGCTACTTTGGTGTTTAACTCAATACTGTACCATTTGTGCTACAGACACGAATGATAGCTCAAATCATACAGCGTGTTGAGATGTGAAAAGAGTCCCATTTTACATGAGAAGGACCTCAAAAGAGTTATATAGACTGCAATATCATATGCAACCTGGTCTTCAATGGAGAACTTGAAAGGAAAATAGTCTACTTGGAGATATGGTGCTGATATGCTGAATTTCAGGTTCATTTTGACGATTTACCAAAGCCATGTAACCAGTGAATGGCCTTTAATTTTTTGGAACCGTTCAGTTTTTCTGAAGTCCAGTTCGTGACAGGCTCCGAGATTGGTCCAATCAAGCTCTGGCACAAGAACCAAAACCATTGTGGTGGGCGAGGGGTGAGCTTTTGGGGTTGAGCTTTTGAGTTAGACCTAGAGGTTTGCACTCTGCATTACCAAGTGCGGCACGGCACAACTTTTTAATTGCTAAGTGTGGGAGGGAAATGTGTGTATGTGTGTGTGTGTGTGTGTGGGGGGGTGATAATAGGAAAAAATAAACTATGGCCCTGACGCAGAACAAAATCTTACAGGAGAGGGACTGAAAATTCAAGTAGACCTTTATCTGCTGGTTTTTGTGAGTGGGGCAAAATGTGAAAGTCATGGGTGGGACAAATCATTAAAAAAAAATTCCTGGAGTGGGGGGGAGAGAGACAGAATCTTGCAGGAGCGGGACTACAAAATCCATCCCATGCAGAACCCTAGGTGGACCACCAAAAACAACCCAAAAAAAAATTTACTCAGAGCACCTTAGCAATTGCATTGCAACCACCCCAAGCACCCTAGAGTCAGTGCAGCAAGTTTTGAACGGACAAATACCTTTATCAGATTTTTTTTTTAGAAAGTTTTGTTACTGTTGTAATTTTCTCTTATATTTCTTCAGCCCAACAGAACCCCGCTCCACCCGTCCCAGCCCGGCAGCAAGAGATCGCGATGAACCGACAGCAACGTTACTTCCGCATTCCCTTCATACGACCCGCGGACCAGTACAAAGACCCCCAGAACAAGAAAAAAGGCTGGTGGTACGCTCACTTTGATGGGCCCTGGATCGCCAGGCAGATGGAGCTTCATCCAGACAAGCAGCCGATCCTCTTGGTAGCAGGTGCTAAAGGCCTTCTTCAGCACTACCTAATGTTTTGATAAGATAAAACTGAAATGTTCTTCTACTGTGAACAATGAATTCTTCAGAATAGAAGTAGGATTTGAAAGATAAAACGGCTGAAACGGTTACTGGAAAATACTCTTATCTGCGGATGTGAGGTGTGCACCCAGGCATAGCGTGATGCCTTTAATCTTTTTCTGTACCCAGGTAAGGACGACATGGAGATGTGTGAGCTGAGTCTGGAGGAGACCGGGCTCACGCGAAAACGTGGAGCGGAGATCCTCCCGCGCCAGTTTGAGGAGATCTGGGAGCGCTGTGGCGGAATCCAGTACCTGAGGAACGCCATCGAAAGCAAGCAGGCCCGACCCACCTATGCGACCGCCATGCTCCAGAACCTTCTCAATTGAACACCGACCGTTTCTCCTCTTGGTTTACGCTATCTATGCACGTGTAGATGTAGACAGTAAAGTGGTGTAGCTAAAACAAAAGGCTGTACAACTCTAGTGGAAGCAAATGCTGTCTAATTGACTTTTTGTTTGTAGTTTGTTCTTCATTTTGCTGTGAACTTAGAAATCAGTCTTCATACAAATCTGAGCCTTGCTTGAACCTGTTGCTCAGAGATGCCTTAAGATTTCAGACCTAATTCATAATTCAAAGGGATGTTATTGAAATATCACACCCATGTAAACCGGCTCATAAATCTAAAATACACTAGGTGTAATCTTTATAAAAGGACATTTCAGTGTGTAGCGATAGACAGTTCTTTAAAACTACACAACATACTATGATATTGATATAATTATTATGATACTGTCACAACAATAAACACAACACTCATGCCTTTGTACTCTTTCAGTCGCATTATTGGTAAGGTGATGTGTGTCATTTGTTGCATATTAAAATACAATAACCACAAGGCATTTCCCTAAAAATGGCATTTTAAAATTGCCTTTGAGCGTCCTGACTAGCCCATGCAACATTGGCTCAACCAATGGCATGGGTTTAAGGGCAGGACTATCTGTTCATTTGACAAATGGCAACTGGAGGCAGTGTTTATGCCTTTTTTCGCAGTTCCATTAGCTAGTGCCGCAGAAATGACACACTTCAACTTTTAAAAAATACAATTCTCATAAGACCTAAAAGGTCATTATTGTGGAGAAACATTTAATATTTTAATACACTGAATAACTATTCAAAGTATCTTTAATCTAATCAGATGATGGTGGGAAAGGTTAATGAGGAACATGCACTGGAATATCATTAGGTTGTAAATGTGGTAACAATGGCAGTGTTGTTTCCAAAACATACACCATCTGAAATTGCCTTTACATATATTTGATAATGAATTTTATAGATGCACTTAAAAGCAGCTTCGGTTCATTAAAAGGGGATAGTCACTGCTGTCGTGCATGGTTTTGCTCAGCAATTTTGTACTTAAATCATGGTGATATGCTAAAGGGCATATTCATTTCTGTTCAGTGAACTGATAATGGCACCTTTGTTAATGATTTGCTGTGAATTCTCTCAGCGTGTGTGGTAGATTTCTCTCATTTTTACATTTCTGTACCGACTCAAGGAAAAAAATGTGTTTAAATGAGCTTGTACACTCTGGAGTGTCTCGTTATGCACTCCTCTGGCCCTTTAATATCTCATTTGGTAATAACTGCCTGAAGAACGGAAGCAATGGAAACAGCAATGACATTCTAAACATTCTGCAAACTTGGTACAGACCAAATTGCAGCATTTGATCAATTTGCTGTCATTATCCAGACTTAGTTTATTCATATGCTAATGTTTTTCTCCATTGAGCCCTTTCCAAATAAAAAGGTGTCATCTCAAACTGTAAGTTTATCCATATTATAATTGTTAATTATTTGTTTCTTGACTGTCGTTTATCTTTGATGTGTCTGGGTTAAATATACTCTGATTTTCTTATTTTTGACTGGCCACTGTTACTCTGATCACTTTGCTAGACCAAAATAAACATTCCATATGAAATCTGGGTTATGTTTAGATCTTTGCCTTTGTAGTCATAAAGAGTTTTAGCTTTACTCGGGGACCCTGACTATTATCTTTTAAAGTCATCATGAACGATTGTTCAGCACATGAAAATTTAAATAGACATGACATTTGCCTTTGTAGTCATAAAGAGTTTTAGCTTTACTCGGGGACCCTGACTATTATCTTTTAAAGTAATCATGAACGATTGTTCAGCACATGAAAATTTAAATAGACATGACATGAAATATTTACTTTATCTGCAACTGAACGATACCTTCAGAAATACTTTTTCTGTTTGATGTAGAAACAAAGACACCATGACCACAAGTCTGTATTTTTGTCTTTTTTTTTCAAGGTGATACCCTTAAGAGTTACAGAAATACTTTACATGCATTTTCTTTGTTTGGGACACTGAGGACAGACTAGAGGAGATTACTAGAATCTATTTAAGATACAACCCAATGTATCAATGTGTAAATAAATACCTCATTGTGAGGGAGGAAACAAACCTTTGACAAGGGTTCAAAGCATCCAACACATTACATGTCTCATATGCAGTTTATAGTTTGTTGCGGATACAATTAAAAATAAGTTCAGGATGGATATAAGTCCTAATTCCTGGAGGCATTCCTTCAGTTGGCCAAGAGGATGGCTGATCCTTGAGTAAGGCTGTTGTATCATACACTCACACTCATGTCAACAAGAAACCAGCAAAGCTGATCGCATGAATAGCGCTGAAGAGCTTTGGTGCCTCTCAGCTTAAAAAAAGTGTCTGGACATCATAAAACAGTCACTTCAAAGTTGTCACTATCAGGACTCCTCAAAAAACAGCAAGAAGACCTGCTGGACCTCCGACACGTCTGTAATATACAGCATGAGGAAAAACAACCTGGTCATTCAAGAAAATTAAACAATATGCACAAAATCATCAGCAGTTGGGTAATGAATAATTACCATACAACAGCACACCCTCAAGTGACTATACAGCGAAAGAATGATTCGTTCACAAACTGGACAGTACAGGTAATAATGTTATAAATGTTCGATTTCTTGCACAGACTGATTGTTTTACTTAAGACCTAGTTCATATATGGTCAGGAGCCACAGGTATTCATTTTGTGTTGCCTGATATGCGTTTTTTGTTTGCTTTGACTCTCAGACGGCAGCCATCGAATTGCATTTTAAGAATCAACATGGACTATGGCAGGGGTGCCCAAACTCGGTCCTGGAGGGCCGGTGTCCTGCAGAGTTTAGCTCCAACCCTAATCAAACACACCTGAACCAGCTAATCAAGCTCTTACTAGGCATACTAGAAACTTCCAAGCAGGTGTGTTGAGGCAAGTTGGAGCTAAACTCTGCAGGACACTGGCCCTCCAGGACCGAGTTTGGACACCCCTAGACTATGGTTTCAGCTAAAAACTTCTTTACTGTTCTACTGAAGAAAAAAAAACTAGCCTGAGGGTGAGTAAATTAAGAGAATTTATTTTGGGTGAAATCCCTTCAAAGGCAAATTAAGCAACTAACCAGCACTACTAATATGTAGCACAAGTACGTCTGCAAGATGTCTGTTAAAGATCGCTTCATCTGGAAAGCATCTGCTGTGTACAAACATCTAATTGATGTCTATAAGATGTGAGTTTTACATGCATTCTAAATCATAACCATTTTTATGACGTTTATTTTACATCTGACAGGAAACCTCCTGTATTGCAGATGAGCAAACACTCTAAAAAAGACTTCTTCCAGATGTAAATGCAGACGTCAAACAGCAGTGAGCATGGTAACCATGGTTAATTTTCGTAAGGGTAGGCTACTAATGTCAGAGTTCTCTATGAAAGTCATTATTCGATTGGGAAACGCACTACTCGGGTCACTAGTGAGTCAGCGCATTGATTTTGAAACACAGCCATTGCCTTCATATTTTAGTTGTCAAGCTCATCATTCTATTGTTTACACATCCTTCATAGTTTGCTAATTTACCAGTTCCACTGGAGGACCAACCTAAAAGAGGATTACTTTCAGGAATAATCAATGTATTCTGTTAAGTCACACTTCAGTCTTGTCAACTCTCATCCTTCTTGCCTATAAACAATGGCAAGTATTTAAGCCTACTTGACCAAATAATGCTGCTTCTGATTGTGCATTACATGCCAAGATATTTGTATAATTAATAACTATTTTTAAATGCATAAATATTTATCTGCGTACTGAGATTGTGAAAGAAAAGTGTAATTTTCAGATTTGAAATGGAACTGAGCAGTGGCAGGAAGGACGCAACATTCCCAAAACATCTAGTTTAATAACATTATTTCCTCCTCTATATGATGGTTGACGTTTTGATGGCAAAGATTTATCATCTTGGCATGATAAATCAGGCTGTCGTGATTATTTATGGTCACTGTTAACATCAAATTGGTTGTTTTCACCCCAGCTTACCTTGTTATGTGGTATACACTGATGGAAGTCAACCATTTCTGACATTAACTTTTCTGATCTTCTGGTGTCGAGTTGTCTGGGGATCTGGAAAAGGAATGACAGACCACCATCAATCTTGAACCGTTTTGCAGTGGACAAGGTCTTGCCAAGCAAAGAAGCAAGGTACATTTTTGGCACTCTATGATAATGCAGACTGTCAATATTTTGAAGAGCAAAACATCTGTTGCTGGAAGAAATGACTGATTATTATTCATAATATCATTAGATTAGACAACTACAGATGCACTACAGTCTAAATGAGATGCGAACCCCATGCATGAATTGTTTCTAGTATCCTCCTTGGAAAAACATTTCTTAATGTTGTATCTTTGAAGGTTTCAGAATGGCATGCATTTTTTTTTCTTTGAATACATTGTGCCTGTAACTTGTTTATAGAAGAGAATTTCTGTTTTAAATTATTATGAATATTTTAGAATATGTGCTATTGTGTTAACACTAGTGAGGATACTGATGCATGGATTTTGCTTATGTATTTCTTTAGTTTCTTCTAGACGAAGAAACCCTCAACAAACAGCTGATTCGCCAAAAGATACATTTTCTGTCCTTTCCTTTGCATTAATATAGTCTATTGTCAAAGTAATTTTTTAGCACATTGTTTTCCTATTCATTGAGGTAATTGAGTGCAATGTCTAAAGCCTGATTTTGAGGTAATTTGATCTAACATTTTATTTATTGATTCATTAATTTTTTTATTATTGCTCATAATATATTCTGCAACAAATATTACACACTCTCATTTGGTTGCTAATAAGAATCCCTGAAAGAATATTCTGTTAATCTATATCAATACAATCCCTCTGAGGCCTGTTGCCCTACACTTTGGGTGAATGTCCCTTTAACTGGTTTATACTAAGATTATTATTTTTATTATACACTAAGATTATACATTTTTAATAAAATGGAATATATACACTGTTTCAAAAGTTTGGGTTCAGTAAGATTTATTTTGAAAAGTTAATACTTTTTATTCAGCAAGGATGTGTTAAATTGATCAAAAGTGACAGTGAAGACATTTATAATGTTAAAAAAAGATTTCTAATTCAAGTAAATGCTGTTCTTTTGAACATTTATATTCATCATAAAATCCTGATAAGAAATGTTTTTTACGAAACTATTGAGCAACACAACTGTTTTCATCTGGGATAATAAGAAATGTTTCTTGAGCACCAAATCAGTATGTTAGTATTATTTCTGAAGGATTATGAAGACACTGAAGACTGGAAAATTACAGTTTTTATCTTTTATTTATTTATTTTTTAAATGTGACCCTGGAGCACAAGTCGCTGGGGTATATTTGTAGCAATAGCCAAAAATACATTGTAAGTTTCAAAATTATTGATTTTTCTTTTATGCCAAAAATCATTAGGATATTAAGTAAAGATCATGTTACATGAAGATATTTTGTAAGTTTCCTACCGTAAATATATTAAAACTTAATTTGATTGGTAATATGCATGGCTAAGAACTTCATTTGCACAACTTTAAAGGCGATTTTCTCAATATTTAGATTTTTTTTGCACCCTCAGATTTTCAAAGTGTTGTATCTCTGCCAGATATTGTCCTATCCCAACAACCCATACATCAATGAAAAGCTTATTTATTCAGCTTGCAAATGATGTATAAATCCCAATTTCAAAAAATTGACCCTTATGACTGGTTTTGTGGTCCAGGGTCACAAATGATATTAAAGTATTAATGTTTCACATGTTGCTATTCTTATTGTATTTCAGAAACTTCTTTCAAATTTTTTTTTTTTTTTTTTTTTTTTAAATCTTTACGACCCCAAACATTTAAACAATATTATATTTTGGATGATGGTAGCATATACAAGATATATTGTAGGCTCTCAGGCTACTAGACTTTGTTCAGACTGCACACATATTCAGTTTCATATTCAAATCCTAAAAAATTTACTGAGGGCCATTCAAAATTAGCTGTGTAGTCTGTCAAAATAAAAATTCAGTTGAGTGGAATAGGAATGTTAACAGGTTGCATCTTACTGTACATTAGACCTTCTAGAACAATTGCAAAAATCTGATTTTCACCAGATTTCAAATTAGATTTTTGCTGTTCTGACACCAACAAAATGAAACCGATTTGAGTCAGATATGCCCCCCAAAAAAATCTTTTTTGCGGTTTGAACAAAGCCTGCTGTAAATGTGACTGTTGTCATTGCAAAGATATTCATAACAAGAAAAGTTAGTCCATCCTCTCCACAAAATCTCTAACAAAGGACATAGACAGGATTTAATGAGAAATGGGATGATTATGGATGTTAGTAGCGATTATGACATTGATTTAAATAGATCATGAAAAAGACCATCTTGGCAGTACACTTTACCTCAGTACTAAGCTGTAAACTTTCAAGTGATCGAAAAGTGCCTTGGCCTGAGTGTTGTGAGGAGGCTGAGTCAGAGCTCATGGGACAGAGCATGCTTGACACATGTGTTAAGACCCCATCGTCATTCTCAAAAACTGGATTTACTCTCATAGCATTACCAAATGGGAATGCTGATTGTAAATTCCTATAATACAAAGGAGATCAGGTCTTAACACCAGCATATTTAAAACGGGTCACCATGCAAATCCAAATCTGTGAAGAAAAATCAAATGTCTAAATAAAAAGATAACCCTGCTTACACAAGTCTTATGGTCTTTCTGGTCCGTATGCATTTCTTGTTAATGAAAATCAAGATGCCTATCACAGAACAAACCACTGAGAGGCTTCCCACAAGGCAGGCTATGGAAAGGAGAGGGTCAAGTGGCACAGACACCAATTCGTTGCAGCGTTCTCCATGGTAGTGCCAGAATTTACCTAAAGGACATCTAAAAGTGGTTGAGAAAAAACATGTTAGAAAAAATGTGGAATGGATAGAAATGTGTAATTTCCCTATCTGTATGACTATCGCCTCTCTAGAATTTTCAGCTGTCTGTCACTTTTTGATTGTTTTCTCAGTCACATAACAAGGGGTCAGGGTTTGGCTGCTTAGTTTGGTTTGCCCCTCCAGTCGATGCTATAAAAGAACAATTTTCAATCAATAGCAGCCACGTGTTCTGATATAAAAACCAACAACATTTGGGTAATTCTCAAAAAAAAAAAACCTAAAATAAATAATTTATAAAATAAAACTTTTTTTTAGAATTCAGTTAAGTTTGGTTACCCGTCATACTAAAATCGATTTTCATTTTAAAAAATTGTCACTCAAACATTAAACAATGCAACACCAATTACACATTTAATTGAGCCATTTGAAATAAATAAATGTAGTGAAAGTAAATTGTAATTATTTATTCACTTTTTCTACATTGTGGGAAAATTGCCAGCCTCTTCTTCCTATGAACTTTGACCTTGGCTTGGAATTACTTATTTAAATTCCACTATTTAACAATAAATGGCAACAATGGCAAAAAATTAAATAAAAAAAAAAGTTTAAGAATTGTATATTAATAATTACTTATTTTGTTTAACGTTTTACACACTTGTTAGACCTTGCACTAACTATTAATAAAATACCTATAAATGTTATAAAAAGTGAAAGGGACAAGGTATTCCAGGAACTTGATAACTATAAACCATAAAATAATGTGCAAAACATTATCAATCTATAGTCAATCCATATAATACAATTGAATAAACTGTTGAAACTGAGTTTCTGAAAAAACTGAAATTTTGTTTTACATAACCTCTCAGAAAAATCACCAGAAGTGGTACCTGTGCCACTATGAATTACCCTTTGTACTGTACCTCATTTTACCTTGCATTACTACCTTAAGGGTACATACCCATTGTAGGGGTAAATACGGTAAAAAAAATTTACCTTTAAGGGTACTTCCCCAGTGACAAGCTGTTGTACCCTTAAAGGTACAATTTTTACACTATATTTTTCTGACAGTGCAGGTGAAGGACTTGGGGCTGTTTGCTCAGGTGATTTTGATGTTACCCTATGTCCTTGTAATCATCATTGAAATTAATGGATTTGCAGCATAAACTATATTGCAGGTTTTTCTTTTTTAATCATTTGGATATAGATGTACCGGTATTGAGGCTAATGTCTTCTGTTCTCTCTCAGTCACTTGACTAGAAGCCTCAGGGTTTGGCGAGTCACTTGGTTCAGAGAATTGTCTCTAGTTGAAAAAAAACAGGGTATTGCAAAATATTATCTGAATAAAAACAACAC